ATTAAATACCTTTTTTATTTTACACTAGCGACTCACCCTCGCTTCGCTCGGTTTCGTCCCTAGCTTGATTCCCCATACAAACTTTCATCCCCCTTTTCACCCCCTCAAGGGATGATTTCCGCGATAAAAAGTATTCTATGTTCTTTCCAGGGTCACAAACTATCTTCTTACCAAATTTCATCTAAATCGGTTCTGTAGATCCAGAGATTACCACATATATCGTCACAAACTCACAATCTCACAAACTAACAAACTTTACCTCTTAATAATATTAGTATAGATAGTATATATTTAATTAACTTCAGTACTTTATTACCAGTAAAGGTAATAAATATTACTCAATACTCAAGTATTACAAATATCGTTCGAAGCGGGATAGTCCTTCGGAGAAGGTCTATATAAAGTGATTAAATAGCAACGTTAATGGCGGCTCCGATTACAATAGCTCACGTTTGTCCATTTAGTAGAAAACAGAGTAGACACCGTTTATCGATTACGTACATAATACATCGTTCGCAGCGAACTTCGTCATTACTCGAACCTCAAAAATGCCACCCAAGTTGAATTCGTTACCCGAGTGCTTGGCCTTCTGTTGTCTATCATAATTCTATATAAGTATGTATTATATCATTTAAATAGAAAAAAAATTATCGCTTCACTTTAGTGACAGTACTCGTATAAAGATAAAAACTACATACCTTCATATTAGAGCATTATTATTTCCTCCGAAATAAAAACGTTACGATATCATTATTGTTTACGCTTGAATCTACATTACTATTTAAAGAGGAAAGATTTGTATTTTTGTATGTTTGTAACGAATACTAAAAAACTACGGGACCGATTTAGATGAAATTTGGTAAGAAGATAGTTTGAGACCCTGGGAAGGACATAGGATATTTTTTATTTCGGAAATCATCCCTTAAGGGGGTGAAAATGTCAGTGAAAGTTTGTATTGGGAATCAACCTAAGGACGAACCCGAGCGAAGCGAGCTGCAAGGGTGAGTCATTAGTTCTAAATATTTTCTCACAAACTTGTCTGTGTGTCTATATTCAAAGAACTCGAATATATCTGGATTTTTCATATAAAACGATTGCTATTAGGTAGGCAATATTATTGTCTTCCAAATATTTTTTTTATTAGGCATAATAAAACAGTGTTTGTTGTAAGTCATTTTTGGAATACGACCTCATCTCGGTCGCAGATAAATCGTCGACAATAAACCTAACACGAAGAGATCGTAAAATTCTAATTCGAAGGCCATCGTAACGTTACCCGCCGGCACGCGGCGCCGCGGCCAACTTGAGTCTGGAGTCTGGACCCATCATAGTTTCTACTACCGCATGGCGTATAAACATTAAAAATAGGTTCATTTTTTAACATAAGGCTGTTATATTATCTACATACATTCCACAAAAACAACAAAAGATTTAACACATCGGTTTTATAGATACGACAATTTAACTATGAGTAATGAGATGATGTACATATGTACATATTTATTAAAAAATATAGAAGATAAAAAATATATAATGTATACAGTAGATAAGTAAAGTCTCCATTAAAGTTTAGCTAACACTGAAACAAAGCTAATGAAAGCTATCAATATTTACAGCAAACTCATTTCACGGGTGTATTTCTATTCATCCATTGCAGAACTATGTACATAAACTCTGTTTTATGAGCGTGAAAAACAAGGACTTTAAAATTTAAGCTTGGACCTAATCGAATGATTTAAATAAAACTTTCTTTATATCGCAAAAGAAACATTTTTAAATAAGAAAAAATATTACCTACATTATAAAATGATAACTTTTTGTATGAAAAGGTACATTGAGCTCGAGGTCACGTTATAATTTTCTTTTTTTTATTTTATATCAATACCATCTTTTGCGGTAGATTTTTAAAATGTTATATGAGTGGTTCCTTGAGTATGACCTATTCATTAAGAAAAAGACCGGATTATTGACGAAAAAATCGTGTAACAAAAAAGACACTCGACAAAATTAAATCTATACATATAATAAAATTGTAACTAAGCCGAATCTGTACATTTAATATTTTTTGGAATATCTTATTGAAATAAACATTATTATCGATACAGACGCCGAATTTATAGTTTTTAGAATTTTTGTCTCTCCGTTACCGCATCACAGAAAAACCACTGGAGGGATTTTAATGAAATTTGGTATGGTGATAGCTGGTTATCCGGGTCAACATATAGGGTACTTTTTAACGCGGGAAAAGGTTTCATTTCTGAGAAAAAATACAAAAACTGCAATGTAAGAGTATACTAATATGTAAAACCTAAGAATTTGGTTTTTGGTCATCTGAACGCGGGCGGAGCCGCGGGCAATGCTAGTACCTAATAATACTTCTTTTTGAAGTCGTTAAAAATCCCATGCAGTCGTTCACGTTCGTGATGGGCGATTAAAGAGACAGACAAAAAGATAGATGACACAAAAGTTCTATTATGATATGTATGTTTTGTAGGTATTATAAATCTTCTAAGGTCCTAGGTTGACCATTTTATATAGATACATGTCTAAATTCCATATCACAGTCATTTTATGGTGGCCTCCTTATTTTTTAAATTTTAATTTAAGCTATTTTAAGCTAGTTTTGAATATTTTATCAATAAGATCGGTCATTATTCATGACGTATCATTATATATCTTTTTAATAAATGTGAAACTAATAATAATATAGAATAAGGAAGTAATTCCTCTGTATGTGTTTAGGTAAGTTATATAACACATAAACGGCGAATATAGGTACATCTAATTGCGTTCATATACATTTTTGTTTTACCTTACGTACACAAGTTTGTTTGCTGAAAATATTAGTAAGAAACTTAGATTTGTTAAGTTTATTTAGTAAATGTGTTTTCTCACTCGAGCGCAAATACGCCAGTGGCTACCTGAATCTACGCGGTAGTTCGTTTTATGTTTGACATAGTAAATGGATTAAAAAATTAAGAAGAAGGTTTTAGGTAAAAAGATTTCACTCGAAAGGCTTTGATTTCTCAACATCATCTTTACATATTCTGAGTGAAGGTGGTCACTAAGCTTGCGGTATGTAACTAGGTATCTACGTACAATTATCTTTTTTTGTAATCGGTGGTTTAGGGTCGTCGACCGCTCGGAGGCTGCCAACATAGCGGACCCATAGCATGCGCGTGCACCTATCTTTGCCCTAAACAGTAAACATTTACTACTTTCTATGACCTACAAAATACTTTTATTTAGTAATCATGACAATGATTACGGCGAAGAATGTATAACCTAATTGCACATCAGTAACGATGTATAAAAATTAAAAATGCTTTTGAGTCTTAATTAAATTTAAAGGGCGATAGTTTTCGTATACCGGTATTTTAAATTAGGTTAACATTATACATATTGCTAAGGTAGGTACACATTAGGTAGGTATTAAGTTTCATTACCAATAGAAAAATTATAAAAAAATCTTTATTCATTTTTATGATTTATCCGACTTCAAAAAAAAGGGTCTATTTTCGTGTGTATATATATATTTTTTCTTTCATTCCGTAATTTTCTTCACAAATTCTATAAACTACAAAATAGATTTTTGAACTATTTATGATTAAAAAATGTTGAGACCTTGTTATAACTTATAAGTAAAAACAAAATATTAAAAAGTATAAAAAGTAACTCATGAAACAATCAAAGCGTTCATGTCATAACTTTTGTGAATTGTAATTAATTTTGGAATAATATATTATATTGTATTGTATTCAGCCCTTTTTAACGTCCCACTGCTGGGCAGGGGCTTCCTTCAGTACATGGGGAATCAGGCCATAGTCCACCACGCTGGCTAAGTGCGGGTTGGCAGACTTCACGTCTTTTGAAAACTTGCTAGGTTTTCTCAGACATGCAGGTTTTCTCACGATGTTTTCCTTCACCGTTAAGACCAGTGGTAATCATGTTGGAAATGATTCGCACATGAAAATATCAGATGTGCGAGACCCGGGATTTGAACTCGCTTCACTCGGTTTCCCAAGCGAGCGCGTTACCACTAGGCCACCACTGCCTTAACAATATATACCCAATGTAAATATATTTCATAATCAATTGTATATTATAATCAATAATGTTATCTACTTCATTTATTAGTAATTAAAATGAAGCCACCTGGCTTAGTCTACTGCAAATAAAAAAGAAGATTATTTCTTATATTTTTAAGCACATTTGTAATTTTATACTAAGTACATAAAAAATGGAGTAGCAAAGGTAATGAGTAAAAAGGAGTTCACAATAGATTACAAAATATGGATACATATTTATATTTTTACGCAAACATTTTCATTGTAGTGTTTTCGCATTTTAAATTAGGGATGTACACGTACAACATTGTATGTGTTATTAAAATATTTAATTCTAATAAATCTACGAGTACGTAATTGTTTATCATATTTAAAGGTACTAGCTTTTTAAAAAATACAGCAGGTCTATCTGTTCATGTTACTTTATAATTTTATGAATCACGTCAAATTAAAACCTATATTGTAATGTATTCTTTAAGAAAATTAAGTAAGTCCTATATATTGAGACAAACTACACACAATTTTCATGTTCTTTGAATGATATAAAAATTATGTTATTCGATTAAAACTACAATGTATTTCTAATTGTAAAAATATTCTCAACCGAACGATGAAAAAATCGTACTTTAATGACAGCCCTAAAAAAATGCTACCGCACCGCGCCCGCCTCTCTGCCCGCACTTTCCCCTTCTCCCTTCTTCCATCCATCAGTCAGTCACTCAATGGTACGCAAAGGGGACGGTCGTACGCTCGCTGGCCGCGCCCGATATTCACGCGGACAACTGGGTCACGAGGTTCGTACGCGTATTGCAAAAGAAAACATATTTGTTCAGTGTCGTGGATGATTGTAGTGACAGTGGTTTGCGATTCTTTGTGAAACAAGAAACTAGCGGCGCTTTTGAAGTGTACGTGATGCGTGCGTGAGCGCAGCGCATGACGTGCTACGAAACGTTGAGAGCTTCGGCACCCGCCGCGGACGCCCCCATGGCGCACCACTTCGTCAAGTGGTGGCGCAACAAGTTTAGAAATGGCTACAAGAAATTCAGCAGTAAGCACTGATTTAATCTTACATTTTGAAATTGTATAGTATACTCTAATATTTTGGTGACATAATAAGATACCAACTTCTTACGATTTCGGCATACCTACCAAACAATTATAAAAACTTTCGGTGAAGTTATCTTTGTTTTTTTAAGTAGAAATTATTTGAATTAATGAATCTAGTTTGCTGATAAAGATAGTAGATATAAGCGAAATACGAGTTTATATAACTAAATCAGTATCGTAAACAAACTATGACCTCACATATAAAGTTTGTTTTCATTCGCGGGTATGCGAAATAATATATATATATATATATATATATATATATATATATATATATATATATATATATAATTAGTATTTCTATAATATTTTATTTAAATTTTTACGATGAAAGTGTTTAATAATTATTTTTTAAAAATGGGTAAAAAGACGTCGTTTCTAAAAATTTTCAAATGTAGATGAAGCTCAAGGGCGCTAAATTAAAAAATAGAGCCAACCTAAGTTCGCTATTTATGACTTATTGTATTCAAATTTAGCCCCATCAAATATTTATTTTTGTTTAGATTTAAGCTACAATAAATTAATTTTATACAAAATAGAATATAAATAAATATGATAATCGTGGCAAGCGGTAGCCTAAGCAGCAGTTGAAAATGTGTACCCTTATTAAATAACTTATCGCTTGTTTAAATTAGAAAGGGATTGTTTAATTTAATAAAATTATTAAAGTAGTAAACAAGTATTTTGAAACTGGTATATAATTTTATTTTCATATAATTGCATACGAGAAGATTAATGTCTTTCTTTAGATTTAATTCTTTTCATATACCTAGCTTATTTTTTGTCAAATGAAATTCTAAAATAAAAATTGTAGATATAGGTACCCACTTCTCATTATAATTATCTCTATTCACTGATCTCTTAATAAAATATTGTATTAAACGAAAAAAATGTACCTATACAAATATATGTACATGTATAAAAAAATGTGTACTATATCTTATAAGCATATCTTCATTTTAATATTTGTTGATTGATAGATTTTTTTTACATAATTATGGAGACATTAAACTAATACAACACCAAAAAAATGTTCTATCAGAAGACGCAATTAACAGTATGATGCGTAATCTGTCATATTTAATGTGTGTAATTACCCTATATTTAAATTACATATATAGTTTAAAAAAAGACTTCCGTTATGAAGATGACTACCCATTTGATACTACTTCAAAGTAGACCGAGATCCCTTTGATCTTGTTCTATTTTGTTACGATATATACGTACAGTCGAACACTTCAATTAGAAGACGATACGAACATTTTTGTTCCCTAACGTAGCGCGCACGTCAATCGTAGAGCAAAGTTTGTAAATATAATTTTAAATGCAAACTGAGCCGCGCTCATTTGATTAACTTCAAAGAGAAAAATTGAAAGCACTCGCCGAAGCGGAGACAATGATACCTTTTATTTGACATCAAAGAATTCCCCGCCTCGAGCTTTAAGCTCTTCTTTCGAGTGAATAGTACGCATAGCCCGCTACAATTTATAGTAAGCGGCGGATACAAAGAACTTTTTCGGTGATGTTGATTCTTTGTCGCATAATTTAACGTAACCCCTCGTATGGAGCTCATATTGTTTTATGTTTGTGAATAGTGGTTTTGAACTTGAACAAAAAGTTTTGTGTGCCACACGCGGTTGGTTTATGGCAACTTTTATTTATATTATTATTATTATTATATGTGCCTTAAGAGAAAAAGACTAAAAATGATCCGCTTGAAAATATTTGTTTTAAACTTAGATTGTTGTCCATGGAGAATTAACGTGATGACAGTAATGAGGGCAATAATATGGTGGACACGTATGCTACTCACGGACTATGCGGTCATTTGTAATTGACATTTAACTTCGATTTTATTATACTCGCGGTAGTACAAAACTCACGCACAAGTAAATACTTCAGAATACCGAACAATGACTATGATGAGATTCTAGCTGCAAAAATATATTTGTTGACCAGCAACAAAGGCTTAAATTTATGAAACAATGGAACCCATATATGGATAGCATTAGAAAGCTTAAACAAGAAAAAGACGACATCTGTTGCTTATCGGCTTTAAATTTTAAAACAAAGTTTACTTTTCTGGAGACTTATAATTAGTTATTCGCGTAAAAGATTAAGTTTTAAATTACATTAAAATATTTTTTAATCATAATGCAACTATGTTTTTATTTTAATTGGTTAATGTTAAACGGTATTTTTTTATTATTTTTTTTTATCCATAAGCATATGTAAAATTCTTTAAAGCAATTTACGATTAAAAATCAATCCAAATACTATACCAAAAAGTCGCGATCTACTTATTGGACGAAATAACTTTTAAGCTTCTGTAAGGAATCTATGAGATAAATTCTTAGAACTATTTTTAAAGAAAAATAAAATTACCGGCAGATGTGGGCTGGCGAAGGCAGAGCTTTAAAGCATTAGGCCATGCCGATCTCTCGGGCCTTCCGAGAAATAACTACGCCCGCCCTGTGAGTCGCCGTCTTTACTGCACCCGGCCGGACCCGCTTGCTTTATACGAAAATCTTTTGAATTTCGCCGATCGTATGCCTCACTATTGTAGTTTTATTTATCTTACCTGTTTTGATATCTTTTATCAAAGTTGGAAGTAAAAAAATATATTTTCTTTTCACATTTGTTATGTAATATTTTTGAAAAAAAAAAGTGTGTGTGTGTACTTATGTATGCACATAAGAATGTTATACTTCTTTGGCATAACAAAATATATTAATTTATCCTGCATGCCAATACTATACATTTGTACAAACGACGATAAAATAATTAAATAAAGATATTAAATACCATTGATAAAGGTTTAAATAAAAAATATAATTATTTAATAAATGAGAATGGCTACCGAAATGTTAGAAAGTACTTATTATATCAAAAATAATCAAAATTAACTATTTATTTCTTAAGTAATAAAGATGTAATTTAAAAAATACATACCTCAGTTAACCTTAATGATACAAAAAAAAAATTGGTCAATGTCGTGGGACACCTGGGGGCTGGGAGGAAAGAAGTTCTTTAATCGCTGTCCGCTCTTGGCTCATACATTAGTTCATTTATACACATTGTCACGAGTACCAGGGTAGCATACGTACATCGAGCAACGTACGTACATATTGAAGCTCATCGAAGAAATGCCTGCACAGAGTGCATACGAATTTCTTACCATGATCGCCTGGTACATTTCACTAATACTAGGGGACCACAAACCTCAAGGAGTGCCCATTATACATGTAGGGCCCCGTCAAAGAGTGCATACAACCAGCGAACTCCTTAACACTTATGCTCACCTTGTACTTGTAATGACGTCACGTGTGATACTCTTAGTAAATAATAAAGCATAACCTTTTTCGTTACGTGACGTTTTCTACTTCTCAACTCTTTGTTTTTTTTTTAATGTTGGGAAATGCATTTACGCATACCACTATAGTTACTAAAGGAAGATTTAACGACTAACTTCATACTGTAGTCTATTAAACGATTAGCTGTAGTCTAATTCTGTCGCATCGTAAAAATTCACTATCATCATTTTTCCAAAGAAGTAATTTTTATATTTAATGATTTTTTACAAACCATGTACCTATACTTAATTGAAAGAAATTTTAAATAAGTATGAACTCCAACAGCCAATTTTGTAAAGTCAACTAATTAATTACAAAAGTAGACTTAAGGTACTTAAAACTATTAGTATCCATTCAAAAAATATTGGACAAAGCAAAGGTTCATTTTTATTTTACCAACCAAACACTACAACTTTAATATTTATGGTTAAAATTTTTCAATTTTTCTGATATTAAATCTTTGTGAAGGGCAAAAATTATAACATTTATTTAGAACTAATTTTAACCGTGACGCGGTCGCGTAGTATATTTTCAAAGTGCCCATATTTTATTAAACAATATTTCTTCATTTTGAATTTCAAATTCTTATATCATGGAGAAATCAAAAACACTAATTTTTATTTTATATTTTTTTCTATTATATAATGTTAGCGTTATAATAAAGCCTACAGCTGTGGGATGATTGTTAATATATCAATTAGGACCATATAAATATAACTTGTAGTGACGAAACTCGATTAATTAGCCTGATATAATAATCATTTTTAATTACATTTACAGTTGGTACGGAAAGCGAGAGAACAGACACAGAGGAACTGGTCGGTCGCGCGGCATCTCAATGTTCCGCACCGCCAGATCTCCTGCCTAGTGAAGCGAGGGCTTTACTACAACCCACACCACCACCAATTCCGGCGAGAAAATCTGAACATATCACTAAAAAGTTACCTTCCTCTGAAAAGCTTGCAGAAAAATCTGATGATAAGCAACCGAGAATGCGATTTGAGGTAAGTACTTTTTTTAATATCTTAAATTCCCATTACACATTAAATCCATATCCATACTTAAAATTATAAATGTGAAAGTGTTTGTTTGTTTGTCCTTCTTTCACGTTGAAACAGAGTGACGTATTGGCGTGATTTTTGTGTGGAGATTGTTGGAGGGGTGGAGAGTGACAGGCTACTTTTTACCGCGTGAGATTATCTCATTCCCACGGGACGACACGTTATAATACAACCCAATAAAATATTTCAGAATTACTTGAAACTTAGTATTAATGCTCTTCAATATAATTAAATAAATACATTTTTTAGCGTTGTTCGTAAATCACCTCATAAGGGGGTAAAATAGGGGATGATGAAAGTTTATATGAAACATACCTTTTTAGAGTTTTTTTTGTAGTTTTAGCGCGAGCGAAGCCGCGGGTTCTGCTAGTATTGAATATTTTAGTAATAGTGCATACCTACCATTCATAATGTGACATAAAATATGTATATAAAATAAATGAATGTATCTAGTCTTTATCATTCATGAGTTAACTACGCTATCGTAGCAAGCAATTTATTGAATAATGAGATGATTCATCTATTTGTGTCATATCAGTCTCCGGGCAGGCGGCTCGCTTTGTTTTATAATATCTCACTGATCGTAAAGGCGCGACTAGTTTCCTTTTAAAGTTTAAGATAAGAATGCCTGTCCTTACCGTCGAACACGCGCCGTTGGTCGGCGCCGCTAGTTATCTATCTTCGTTAACTGAATACCGTACTACATAATCACGACTCTAATATTCTTTTGTAACACGTAAAATAATTTAAAAATAACCATTTTGTATTACAGGAGTTAACGTGTGATGTCGAATTACAACATCCAGAATCGTCTAAACAACAGCCGTTGCAGTTCTCTTTTACCTTGTACGACCTCGACGGTCACGGTCGAATGACTAAAGATGTAAGTATTTTATAGCTATATATAATCTTATTAGAGAGCAATTTACCAATTATAAAGCAGTTATTCTATTGTATATTTTTGTTGACAGGATATAGCGGGAATAGTGTCTACAATATACGAGTCGATAGGAAAATCGGTCACAGTTCCGCACTACGGATCTAAAACGATACAAGTGCGTTTAACAGTTGTCCCGGAAGATGGACCAATACGTAATCATAGAGACAGGCGGAGACGGCGTAGAAGGGAGCAACCTAGCACGAATACACCACCGGCAGATAATAATAACTGTGCTGATAATAGTGATGATGAACAACATGATAGATTTTCAAATGATGACGACGCGTCATCGAAGTCTTCGTGTTCAGAGCGACAGGCCCCACAAAGACCTGCGCCGGTGCTCAGACAAAGACATCGTCAAGCTCGAAGAGAGCCTCGGGAACGGAAACATGTTAAAAAACGTTCTGGCAGTTTACAACGTCGTGAACTACTCGAAATAATACAGGCTAACATGGAGAAAAATCATCTGAGTTTTCAAGCCACGAGGTTAGTATCGACCTTTTCTTATTTTTAATCTTTTGCTTTCAATTTGTTCCACTCCCACGAAAGTAATTTGAAACAATTACTTTGCGAAAATTTACAAGAGAAGCCTGTACAACGTCAGAGCATAATAAACAATGATAAAGTTTTGGTGAAATTAAAAGAATATTTTAACGTATAATATATTTAAATTTTAAACCATTTTAAAACAAATCCTTTCACCTCGTGAATCTTATTGTTTAACTAATGTATAACACGGTTCATTACATTTTCAGAAAACCCAGTGATCCTGTTGCCAACGAGGAGGAAATCACGAGCAAATATCAAAAGCTTAGAAATAGATCTTATACTGTCAACGACAAAACCGCATTCCAAAAGTTGAAGCCAGAGTCATCTAACAACGGTTACTTAGACCTGGCATGTGGCGGCGACTCTCACCTGTGCCGATACGACCGCTACCTGCACGCGGTGATATGCTCGTCGGCGCGCCACGCACACACCGGCTACCACCAAAAGCACTCGCAGCCTACAAAACCCACACGAATACACCACAATTCGAGATCGCGATCTCACGATATGCCACAAACCCATTCCAACCAACCGAGAGTTCTACAAATCATATTCTTATAGAATTCAAGTTTGGACATCGTCGTCATTCGACTTTGTCCCTGTGAAGAATGAAGGATTTGATTTGTTACCAAGATTGTACTGAAAATCAATGTTAGTGTTGAGGGTTGGGCGTATGAATTGTAACCCATCGCGAATTTGGATAAGACTTTAGAATTATTATTTATCATTCCACTGTAGATTAGTTTAAGTAAACTTGTTTTATATGTAATTGGGGAAGAACGAAAAGTGTGACAGAACTGACCTATGTTTATATACAGGTTAGTCCAGGAAGTGACGTCAATTTATGACTTCACTTCTTGGACCATATATATACTATACAGGCATAAAAAATAACTAATAATATAAGTCAAGTTATAGAATAACAAAAAAAAATGGTGTGGAAACATAGGACTCAAAGGAATATTCAAAAACTGAATATAAGAAAATGGATATTTTTTTTCGAAAATATGCCATTATTTTATCTACTCACATGACAATTAAAAAAATAATGTTAGTCATAATTTTCAATTTCATTTTCCTAATTTAAAAAAAGATATGTAATCTTTTAAAATGTCACACATTTGTTCTTGTCGTACAGTGCCTTATACATATTTTAAATGTTAAATCTAATTAATGGTCTAAATGGACAAATAACTTACTTTCAAGATAAAAATGAAGTTTTATACTTTATGACAATGCTCATTAGTATTGGTTATGTATCTTATAGATATGGTAAGAATAACTCATTCATGGAGTTTTAGACTGATTTTTAGGTATAAGTATTAGGTGCTCAGACGAAAAGTACATATTTTATATGTATGTATATACTAAAGGGAGTACTTAAACATTTTGTATTTAATCCATAATATTAGAAGTGTAGTTCTAATATTGGTGTTCTTACTTTTGAGGTTGCATTACCATTGTCAGTATTCATTATTCATAAGTAATTTAATGAATCTCTTAAATGTCTTATCTACCTCTAATTTTACTTTATTAGTTTAACTCTTAAATATTTATTGTAACAGCTAAATCCTAAAATTATGTTAGTTTTTGTGATAAACGAGTGAGCTGATATGACAATGATTCACTCAAGTTGGTTTGTATATTATATGATGGGACAGTATCCTAGTAAAAACACAATATGTACAAAATTAACTTTACTTTTAATTACTTATTAATACTTTAAAATGAGTTTGCTATTGTTCCACTTTAGGCGTATAGTGTACAAAGTGCTCGATCTTGTCAAAAATATTTATTGTCAAATATAATCCTTGAGGTTGAAAAATATATATTTTTTTTTATAACAAACCTCTCCTGATTGGATTTTTCATGATTAAATATGCGATTAAAACGCAAAACATAATCACAGCTGAAAGAGCAATTGTAGTCTCTTTCGGAAGTCCACATTTTTCCACTGCATATTCATCAGGTGTTATACTAACCTGGAAAAAAAATATTTTTACCAATCTACTTACTACATTATACTTGTATTATTCCCATACACTATAAACCCAATTTTAAAGTAAAATGGTGTGAAGCAAGCAATATTGTAAAGAGACCTCTAGCTAGGATGTACTGCCAGTTCATGTTGTAACATTTTCATGATATTTAAAGACCAACCAATACTAGTGAAAAAGCAAAACAGTGGGATAATTATATCCAGTATAGTCTTTGCATTAATTCATCATAGAACGTCCCCCAAACGTATTTAGGTTAAGGCAGTCAATATTGCTGAGACTAAACAACTGCGATGCACATATTACAATGCATACGCGTATGTACGCAGACAAGTGCACTCTCTGTTCCTGTTACTCTCATACTCCGGTGGGACGAGTACTCGACACGACCAGTGAGAATTAAGGCGCAGGACCGACGGCTTTACGTGCTCTCCGAGGCACGGGGGTGAAACACCGCCAACTTACCAAGTCTGGGCTGTTGAGTTTGGTTGACTGATAATTTCTTGACAGAAAAACACAATAACCTAGCTTGGCTCGACCCGGGACTCGAACCCAGGACCTCCGGATCTACGGCCGTAAATGCTAACCACTAAAATTCCACATATTAACATAGTATGATTAAGCAAGTTATTTACTTACCAACATATATTTTGGATCAGGTCTATTTCTCCATGAGAAGGAAGGCACTGAATATTCTAGAAAATGTACTTTATCAAATTCTTCATAGTAATGTTCAACTAGGCACCCATGGTGAGTGTGTCCACCAAATGCAGCTCTGGGTTTAAATTTAGAAATTACATAACCAGTGGATTCTTTTGATAAAGCATCTATTTTTAATCTGAATAATTTGTTTTTTCCTGGCAGTGGTGGTGCATCTGGTTCACTACAAATAGCATCAGATAATCTATATAGAGGAAAGTGCTGAAAATTTTACTTTTATTAGATGAAATTATTAAATAATAGCAATTAAAATATGTATGTACAACACAGACATAGGTTATATTGTCTGTGATGTACAACCATAAAGAAGATAAATATTCTACCTGCATTAGGATTGGTCGACTATAATTAAACTTGGACTTTTTATTAAAACATTGTTCAGAATTGAGGAAGCAGCTTTTTAAAGTATCTAAAAAAGAAAGTATATATATTTTATGAGGAAATCACCAGATAGGTTTAGATGAAATTTGGTACACAGATACCTGAAATTAAACATAAGCATTGTAGCACCTAGGGACAAGACAGATAAATGTGTGGATAAGTCACGAAGTGTGATATAATAGTTAAACTGTATGGATTTGTACCAAAATCCTATAAAACAATTTATGTCATACTGTCTAAGTAGTTAATAAACTAAATAAAAAATAGGTTAAAATAATTTATGAATAATAATATTTTGAATCTATATCTTACTACTATATAAATACGAAAGTTTGGATGGATGGACGTTTGTTACTCAATCACACTAGAACGGCTGAATGGATCAGGATGAAATTTGACACAGAGATAGATTATAGTCGGGAATAGCACATAGGCATAGGCTACTCTTTATCTCCGTAAAATGCACGGTTCCCGTGGGATGTGTCATAGATTTGTTTTTGTTTTTCATTCTATCAATAAATATAATAAAAGTGTAACTGATCACTGTCTGTATGTGGAAGATATTTGAGAAAAACTATTATTGAGGGTATTTATTATCGCAATAGAACCCAAAACATGATGATTTTTAGAATTTTAATCTGTTTGTCTGTGCGTTTGTTACACTTAGGCTGACTTTCATTTTTAAAAAAGAATTAGGGTTCTGCGACAAAAATATTAAAACCTCACCCGAGCGCGAGTACATAATAAAAATGAAATACATCATGCATGTGTGTGTCATTAGTACTAGTTATTACTTCAATTTTCATTATTTTGCTGATTGTTATAAAAAAATCATTTATTTCAGTAACACACAAATTACACTCAAAGGGTTGGAGTTTCCTTTTAAGCATATAAAATACCTGTGCCAGGAGATTCCTCTCCTTACGTGCCTTACACTGACAGTATATTACATACATAAGACAATGAAATTTTATGGAAAATAATACAAAAATAGAACCAAAACATGTAGATATAGCATGTGTATGTGTGCGTGGGCCTGTTATCTGTGTTATTACTTTTTATTAGCTTTTAACATCATCATAAGTAGGTAACAGTTTTTAACCACTTTAATCATTGAAATTTGCAGTGATGATGGGATTTCGAATAAATATGTCATACTTTGTTTATTTGATTGTAGTTAAACACAGAACCATTAGTAAATTGCATACTAGGAAAAATAGTTTCATTGTTGTTACGATACATACTATTAAAAAATCTTTATGATTTTCTTACTTGAAACAATTTCTATTTGATTTCTGGCACCTGTGCACAAATTGCAGTTATCACCTTCTAGAGCCATTGAATTTAATATAATAAAATGATTATCTTTTAATACAACATGTTGCACTGAAGGAGCTTGTAGGAATTTGGTAAATCTTTGTGCAAACCCTCTCCTTATACTAAAAATATAAATAAATATGAGTTTTTTTTTAGTTTATATCTAAAACAAATTTTCCACAAATATTAATATTTTTTACTTATTATGAAATCCAATATCATGGTTTCCAACAGCAATGATCATCTCAATATTATCTGGCAATGCAAATAATTTATAAAAACGCTGAACATAATCTTTGAATTGTTTATCATTGGACCACTCTCCTTCATCAAACAGATCTCCTAGAAATATAATTTACTTTTATAATAACTTATAAATTTACACCTTTTGGTTATTGATTTCTTTAATATAATAAAATCGTTAGTTACCTAAAACAAATACCACCTCTGGATTATGTAAATTTATTATTGCTTGAAAAGCTTGGTGCATTTGCCATTCTCTTCTCCATTTATCTAACCAATGACCTCTGTAGGGGCCAAGTAAATGAGTATCAGCTATAATAAATGCTTTCAAAACTTCTCTTCCATTTGAATTTTCTAACTTTGGCCATTTGCACTGTAATGGTAAATTAATATTTTTATAAATAAATATTATGTATCGTCTTATCAATAATGATTTCTATGTATAAACTAATATGTATTACCTGCAAAATAACTAAGTAATATATAAGAAACTCACAATATAAAGCAATGAAAAGTAAACCTATAAAGAAAATTATTAATTTCTTTGTGACTTTTCGCATATTTAAAACCGATCATATTTAATTTGTATAAATAGTTCTAGCTATTGATGGGTTTGCTTTGTTATCTAAATTATCGTTATCAGTTGAATTTTTATCATGGATAACAAATTTTTTTTATCCAAGACTCCACCAGTATATATCTATACTCTTTGACTCCAGCAAAACTTCAATCTGTAGTTTCAAGTTTGTACTCTACATATAGAATTAGAAGTTACTATTGGTATTGGATACAATTCTTAAAGTAAATGTTATTTAAAGTTCAAATTTCAAGACATTCAAAATAAACAGGTAAGGTAGATAATACTATAGATACTTCAATTTTGACATAATAAACTTATAGTTCAGATCATAGATAATACATGTGTCTGAGGATATGAGCATTGTATTTTAAAATCGATTTTGAATTATAGATTAAATTTAAGATCAAGTAATATAAAAAATAACAAACTCAGTTTGAGTAACTTAGTAACTCATGGTATTTGTAATAAAAAAAATCTTTAAAAAAACTTTCATTAGAATCCTTAATTATTCGGAAATTATTGTTCTTAATACCCATTATTTAAAATAAAGGAATTTTTTTTAATTACACCAAAATTTATTGACTTGAAAATTTTACTATAATTTAAAAAAAATGGAGCCGTGTCGACGGTCGAGGCACACGGCCGTTGATTTAAAGTGAAACGTCTATTTCAGCGTGTCACTTTTACCGTTTTTTAACCGAATTCCAAGAAGGAGGATCTCAGTTCGTCGGAATCTTTATTTTTTATGTATGTTCACCGATTACTCGAAGACGCCTGAACCGATTTGGAAATTATTTTTTTTGTTTCAAAGGGTTTTTAAAATAAATTGTTTAGTCGAATGCTATTAAAAACCTTTCTTCTTACAAATTACATGCTTATTACGTCTACACTAAAAATGAAAAAATAAAGACTTAAAAAAACCGACTTCCAGGCGCTAAAATGTAAAAAATAACTAAACGGCGATTTTCATTTAGAATAGGTACCTAATCAGATATTTTCGAAGTCGGTGCCAGCCGATGCAAAGCAAATCTAATATATTTCGAAACGTAAAATACGCTATTAGATATTCATATCTTAAAATATTGTAGGTTGGCACCGACTTCGAAAATATCTGATTAGGTATCTATTCTAAATGAAAACCTCCGTTTAGATATTTTTTACATTTTAGTGCCTGGATGTCGGGTTTTTTTTTAAGTTTTTATCGAAATCAGTCGAGCTGTTTATAAAAAACCAACAAATAAATTATAATTTTCATTTTTAAATAAATTGCAGAATCGAATCTGTTATTAAAAAAGTTTCTTCTTACAAATTAATTACCTGCTTATTACGTCTACACTAAAAATGGAAGAATAAAAACAAAACAAACAATCGAGTGAAAATTTAATTAAAAAATAAATAAAATAAAGGTGAAAATTCCACCATGAGGACAAATGCAACAGTTAGATTTCTATGAAATCTACCTAATAGTGCAATTACGAAAAATGAATTTTAATAAATTAGAAAAGAAAGGGTGAAAGGGCCCCGAGAATTGTATTGCCTAGTGTTGTTGTTTAGTAATGTTAGTATGAAATACAAATCTTTGAATTTCTCGGCTTTTCTGTACTATAATATGATTGTTATATAAACCTTCCTCTTTGAATCATTCTATCTATTTAAAAAATCATAATCAAAATCCAATGCGTAGTTTTAAAGATCTAAGCACACATAGAGACAAACAGACAGCGGGAAGCGACTTTGTTTTATACTATGTAGTGATAAGTGGTAATATGTATTTTACGTGCCGAAATAGATATATTAGATTTGCTATGCATTGACTGGCACAGACTTCGAAAATATCTGATTAGGTGTCTATTCTAAATGAAATCCCGCGTTATTTTTTTTAGTGCCTGGAAGTCGGTTTTTTTTTTTAGTTTTTTCACTAAAACATACACACATATACAAACTTTCGCTATTATCGTAGTGGTCTGATTTATCAAAGTAACTTATCGATAAATAAACAACTTGGGTATAATCTAGAGCAAAGTGAGGACTAAAGTATCCGTAAAGTAGAAATCTTACAATATCCTATTGTTAGTTCCAAAACAGCTTCTAGGGAAATATAACCACAGGCCATAGCCAATATTGCTGTAGAGAAAAAAACGTGTAAACAGTCTAGGTTAGCAAATTAAAAACATAATAAATAATTAGAAAAGCTTTATTAAATTAAAGAATAATGTCTTACATAACAAGCCTCTTGACTATAAAAGTGAAATTATCAGCTTACAATTAATTAAATATTACATTACATGTACCTATTAAACAAACTTGTAACATGAAGTATTGGCACACATTTTGTTTGGCTTTCGACACCAGTTAATCCATAATTTATTGTAAAGTTTAAAAATTCATGGAGAGCCGCTAAACTGAACTTCATAGCTAAATCTAAATTTAATTTACTACATTTTAAAACTACAACCTAATTAATATTATTCATTAATTAATACTATTTGGTTAGGAATACTTCATGAATTACAATGTCCGAAATTTCGATATACGAAAATATCAAATGCATAAAGCACATAAAATCACAGATCATTAATCATTTCGTCATGATAAATATTGTTTACACATTTATTAAATGAAGTAAATATTGTCAAGTTTTCACAGAAATTCAATTTGGTAATAATATTGCTAATTACATCCTAATTATTTCACATTATTTTAGATTTGTACTCGAGTCTAGTGTATTATATAAAATAAAACAAACATTATTTTACTGTGTAATAAGAATAAGAAATAAATTTTAAATATCTGTTCAGGTTATTTCACGAGTTTATTTCGAATTTTGGTTTCATGATTGCTGTAAAGCATTCAAAACGTTAGGAATCAAAAATCAAAATAAATCCACGAAATAAGCCAAAAAGATAGTTTTGTTTAAAATTTTAAATATTCGTGTAAGAAAGTATTAATAAGAAATAAGTTTAAGATTTACCATAAAACTTGCTGTTCAAAAGGAAAATTAGTAAATTTACATTTATCTTAGCTTTGCCAAACATGTCCATGATAGTGCACCCTTCATATTGCCTTTGTAAGAGATCTTGAATATCAACCTCAATAGATTCCATTTCAACACCCATAAATTTACCTTTAATTGTGAACACTCCATTGTGATCTGTTGGCGTTATTTCAAATTGTACATTTTTGAATTGCGATGTAGAAAGTCCATCTATTTCTAAAAGAACGCCCCTTTCCAGAAGTTTGGCTGCTGAGTATTTTACTGTTAATTTAGATTTTAACTTTTGAATATCTTTGCCTGATCTCCTTAGACAAGCATGGACACTTCTGCAATTAAAGATATAACATATTTATATTACTCATAAGGCCTTTGCATATATTGTTAATTATTATGAGAATTAAAATATACTGACATTATTATGAGCATTAAAAATATTAAAAATAAAAAAACACTTAAGAATCACTTGACAAACTCAACCATGTTTGGTCTTGTCTGTTAAACGCAATAAATAACAATATCACTCTCGCCTATTAAAAATCACAATAATTGAGTAGATAAATATTTGATGAAACTAAAAAAAATATATAATGTAACAAATATATGATGCAGTCACATAATTTATTAATATCAATATAAACCACAACATTCTATCAAACTTATTCATACAAATACTCTATACTGTAGAAACAAAAATAAAACAATATAAAGCTACAAACCTTTTCCCTGCATGAAGATTAGCGAGACATGACCTGATATACTGGTCATACGACTTACATTTCTCTTCATAATACTTTGTTTTCTCCAGCAAACTTTGCTTAGTCCTAGTTAATGTTGAAAGCGCTCTCCTTTGCGCCTGTCTGTACTTGCCCTTATTGCACAAGTCGAGTGCTATAGAAGTGACTAGTGCTTGGTACCCGTCTTCGCGTGTCACATACCCTTCTTCCTCCAACATTTGCAGGTTTTTACGTAATTTAGCGATATGCTCACGTAATGTCATCGCTTCGTCGGGCCGTGCTTGACCAGAGTATATCCGTCTTTGCACTTTCTCAGTGTATTGATCTTGTTGCTCTCGTGTGGAGCCAATGCACAGCGCCTCTAAGAGATGCTCACCTAATAAAACAACCATAACATTTATTTATCTATATAAAAAATCTGTTTTTGTGTAAGTTTGCACAAATAAATCGCAGAGAAATGTAATTAAATCAAACCATAATTTTACATATAAATATAAAAAATAGTAAATATCATTATATTTTAAAGTTATATATAATATCTTTATTAAGATTGTATTTAAATTAAACATAATAAAAATTCTTACCATTAAGGAATGGTATAATCTCCACACATAGTTCTTTAGTTCTTATAAATAACTTGTTCAAATCTGTCATATCATCTGATGGAGCTTGAAACTTGTTAACCAGAGCAAGGCATACTTCCAATCTTGCATTCTCTTCAGAATCACCCATTTGCTATAAAATATGAAACAATATTGAAAAACTTACAAATTAGGAGTAGATACCACAACATATAAAATCGCAAACATTCCTTTCTAAGATTTCCATTATTCCTTCTTCTTTATTTAAAAAAAAAACTTATTTGAAAGAAAACCTATTTTATATTTCGTATGCTTAATAAACATTTTTATTTCATATGCTTAATAACCTTATTTATTTTATTTATGTTAGGAAAAAACGCTTTTTATTTGTCGACATAAAATTATAAACATTGTAAGAAAAAAAGAACATGTGTGTGCATAAAAAAATTTATGCACGTAAGAAGTTATACTTCTTTGACGTAACAGAACAAAAATAGCTAAAGATTTCATCCCGTATGTCACGACTCTGTTTGTAAAAGGGATGCAGGTAACTTCATCATGTCGCTTTTTGGCTGTCGGTGTGCGCGCGTATCGTTAAAATTTTACTCTCATATTTTTTTCCAAACGTGCAAAAATAAGTATTAAACTTCAAAAAAAAGAAACATTTCCTCACTGAAGCAACATCACGGGACGCCAGCTGCGCCACAGAGGGCACTTCGCCCAAGTCGTCCAACAGCTCATTAAGTCGGTCGTGAGGATCGGGCGCCAGTATATCTTGGTATTCAATGAGTAAGGCGTGTGTGTCTACAATTTCCTATAAACAAAAAATATAAATATTTTACTAATATTACAAATATTGCACGAAATAAATAAAAAACACTATGAGGGTTACATATTGTGTACGAAATATAATCCCCAAAAAATCGTTGGAATATTCTTTGTCTGTTTGTATATCTGTATATATAACTTTTACTACAAAAAAATCTTTCATTCCTATGGGAAAACACAATAACTAGTTGGACCGAGTTGTCCTTCATACAAAAAAAATAATATAGTGACCTGCACAGTAATGTAAATGTGAGGATGATTTATTAAAGTGGCTTCAGTGTATTCATCAACTGCAAAGTACTCCTCTAGTGTGGGTCCTCTGCAGCATTGACGGAATAACTCCTTCATTTTCTCATGACACTCGACTATAAAAGGGTTTAAACAGCGCAAGTGGCTGGATTCTTCACCAAACTGAAAGTAGTATTTGTTTTGTTAATAACTAATCAATGGATTAATAATAGTTTGAGTACAGTAATTAGATACTGTTTGATTATGAGGATTTTGGTAAAATTGGTTAATGTTAAAAGAAAGTAATAGGTACCTATCTTTGTCAAAAAGTCACTTTAAAACTACCGAAAAAAGAAAAAAAGGTCGCACTAATTGTCATTAGTTAGTTTAGTTGTAGTTAGTACTTACTCCTTTCTTGGCAGCGGAAAAATGTAATATTTTTGCAACGGAAGCGAGGTTTTTCCGCTGGTCGGTGGTGAGGCCGCCACCACTCGGCATGTTGATTATATGGAACGCATCGGGCGCCACAATCGCCGCGTTGAAGAACTGATAGTACACCAAGTTACCAATCACCTAAAACATATAATTTGTAGAATTTAAGTCTGATATATTATGTCTAAAAAAACTTAACACTTTCTTATATTTACGCGAATATTTGACATTTCAAGGAAACTATTTTTTCAGAGTTTTTCACGATTTATTTTGTTTTATAGTTTCGGACGTTTCGAATGCTTTACAGCAATCATGGTAACGGGAGATACTTATTGCTGACCATGATTGCTGTAAAGCATTCATAACATCGAGAATCAAATAAAAATCAAAATAAATCCACGTAAAACTCCGAAAAGATAGTTTTATTTACAATGACAAAAAAGTTAATATTGTACAAATAGTTTAATACGTTGACTGGCCAACTAGCAGGAGATACAGCATAAGATTTGTGCAGATATAAGTGGTGTCATATTAGGTCAGAATCAGATCAGGGCTTAAGACCTAGGTTAGTTAGGTTCTTAGGACATGCTTCACGCACGCCCTAGGAACGATTCTATTGATTTAATTATTAAAATGTACAGTATGAAAAACACTGTTTTTGAATGATTGTGATTTATATTAAAAATTAATAAATTGCTTTGAACAAAAGGCAATTCAAATTGTAATAGTAGCAATTTTTTACCTTTAAAATATCTTTTTCAGGTGTATGTGGAAACTTGGTAGTCAATGATCGATGCAAAACACGAGCCATATACGTGATACAAAATGGAAGCAGTTCAGTGGAATTCGTTATTTTGTCCAAAAACATCGTCACAACAGTCTTTAATTGCGATAAGGCTTTTTCCAGTCTTGATTTTACTTCTGGATATGTTAGCGCTTCCTCCTGTGTCACAGTATAGGGTAATTTTCTGCAAATAATAAAACATATAAATATGTACAATTAAATTCTATATCTTTATAATCGTTAAAAGAACGAAGATTTTATGTATTATTATTTATATTCAAATGTTTATGGGGCGCGGTATTCCACGCCAAATCGGACAGTTTATTTTTTTTTATTTTTGATCTTCTTAATATTTTGGTATTTTTAGTACCCCTCAAAAGAGGCTTCCTGGTAAATTTTGAGATTTTTTGATCACTGGTTCAAAAATATCGAATTTTCAATAAAAAAAGCTCTTTATTGGTTTTTTCCCCAGAACTTTCTTAATAATGGTCATAGTTCAATTGTTTATATTTCGATTTTTAAATTTTTTTTTTCATTGTGAAAATTGCAATTACCTACCATACTTTGAATGCGATATAGACAGACGAAATGTGTAGAATTTGTAATAAAGTTCCTTTTGAGTAGGGAACCCTAAAAAATAACCTAAAATACACTTACGAAATCTGGCCTGTCTTCATTTCAGTTTCATTCCGCCAAGCCTTATAAATTTCCACCGGTCCAGTTTCAATATTCAAATCTTTATCTTTTACTATCTTCTCTACAAGAGGTCCTATTATCGTTTGTAAGCTGTTTAGACCTGATAACTGTCTCGATAGACTGACCGCCATTTTGAGTACCAATGGCGTACACGCTATTATATCAAACGGCTTAACAACTTTGCAACTTATTTCTTCTTCTAAAGTGAACCTAAAGAGCTTTAATAATAAATATTCGTCTCTTGCGTAAGCCCCAAAATTATATAAACTTAAGACGACATTTTGCAAGAAGGAATTAGTTTTATTCTGCGGTATACAAAATAATAACTTTGATAGATATGTTGGATTTGTTTGCAATTCATAGAACAAATGTTGATAGCCGTCCAAAAGCCGCTTACTTTCTTTAGTCAATGATTTTAAACCTTTGACTGCTGTTAAAACTGTCATAAGAGAACTTTTGGAGTCTCGATTTATAGCTAAAGTAGCAGTATTATGTTTAACCAAGTCATTCAACTTTAGGCCGTGTGCTGCAACTTCCTGCAATGCAATTCGATTTTGCACCAACAATCCTATTTTTAAGTCCATATCGTCTATTTGTTTGGACAATTCTTGATTTTTCCTTATGGACTGTACAACTTCGGATTTTAATGTTTGTAATTCTATTTCCCTGTTGTAGTCTTCAGTACTGAAGTCTAACATTGGCACAAACTTCTTTACTACTCTTAATGGTGGATTTGGTGAGTGGAACAGTGAGACGAAAGCGTTCCTAGTACGACGACCACGCCAGAGTGCTTGAATTTTGATTATTTTTTGTTCCTATAAAAATAATAAGTAAATAATAAATGACAAACTCAATTATGCAATAAAATCAACTCATAATTTGAACAGTATTTATAACTCTTATATAAGTAAACCAAAAATTAAAACGAATCTGCGAAAAAATCCGATAAGACAGTTTTATTAAAATGCTGTAGCTCATTGTTCAAGTGGCAGACTTTGATTCTTTTGTGGATCATAATTTTCATATATTGTTAGAAAAAGTTAATGTTTACAGTGCTGCTTAGATAAACAACCAAACAAAGACTCAACAAAAACAAACAAAAACACATCGATCAAAAAAGTACTAGATACACAATCAGCGACAAAAAATGCCCTCATCGAGTGAGCGCTCATTTGAATATTTGAGAGCGCTTTCAATTTTTTTTAAGTGAAAACAACTTTAAGCGTTTTAAATAAGCCTTTAAGATGTCTATAATTTTAGTCTCTCCCGGGACCATGATTGCTGTAAAGCATTCGAAACGTCGGAAACAAAAAACAAAATAAATTCGCAAAGATAGTTTTATTTAAAATATCAAATATTCGCGTAAATTTAAGAAAGTATTAACTTTAAGCGTTGCAATTATGTTTCAATTTAGATTGTTGTATATTTATTTCAACTAGAATATTTACCTAAACACAATTGGCACAATTCACTTTTTTAAGAGAACTTTTGCATGGGTTTGTGTATTTAGTACTTTTTTGATCAATGCTACAATAAATGTCTTGCCATAAAAAATTAAAGTACCTGCACTTTATACCACGCCCAGGGATTCTGTTTTCTCTCTCTTTTAAGCTTAGCTTCAATTGTTTTCATTTTTAACAAAGTACCATATTTTCTTTGTATCATAATTCGCCTCCACCAAGCCTGAATCCTCACAACACAGTCTACATGATCTCTAAAGAATTCAAGTCTTTTAACTGTTTGTCTTACTAAATATCCTTTGCAGTAAGCTTGAAATCTTTCAATAGATTTCTCTATTAATTTTTGTCTGTATGAATTCAGGTGATGTTTATTTGTTTTTTCCACAATAGCATTTATATCTTTCTTGGACAAGTAACGCGCATATGGAACAAAATCCTTTGGTGTGGTCCAACTATAAGTATACGATTCAACATCAATGTACACTGTGTTCCCGGCTTCTGTATGACACACTATCCATGGGCAGATATTATGGCCTTTCTTTTTAAGAGCCTTTGCAAACATTTGAAAGTACATCTGGCTACATGAGCTTTCAATTAGGTCCGATGTGACCAAATGAGGAGAAAGAAGTGCCTTCCAGAAGTCATTTATGTCATTTTTTAATATAGCTAAATTGAGTTGAACAATTGCGTCAGTCAGTTCCTTAACTTTTATTGATTCATAATTTACATCACTAATGGCATTAACAATGTCATCGTACCAGAGGTTTTCCGATTCTTTTTGTAACAGGCGTTTTTTCAAAGTTCGCAAGTACAAATGGTATTCTTCTTTATGTAAGGATAATGGTAGCTTAAGACAAGAACTCTTTAGCAATCCTATCAACGAATTTACATCTTCTTCTGCAACTGCTTTGTTTATATTGTCAATAACTTCCACTACTGTAAAATAAAAAGGCAGTTTAATTGCGATTCAGATACCTCTGGAATAAACATGGGTGAAGACATGATAGTTCTTTAAATTTATTCACTACATATTATGACTTTGAAAAGAGTGAAACTAAGCATACTGCCATACTTACATTCATCATTGTCATCATCTTTCATGTTAACCATTTCTATAGTATCCCTAATATCTTCAAGTGTCAACAACGGGCACTCACATTGTTCCCTCACTTTTACTTGCAGAGCTGCCACTAGAGCGGACAAGTATCGGCGTCGACAATGCGGCCGAAGAACTTCCAACTGAATTTGTTTAGAATTCAGGGCTTTCCATACAGCTACTTCGTCTCCCCTTTCAACCGCTTGTGATACAGAAGCAATTGCTGTCAAATAAAGTGCTGAAGCTGCTATTTCACTTTCATTTAGATTTTTATCCAATTCACATTTTTCCAATCTCATTTCCTCAAACAATAGGGGTGCAGCATATTTGTCTATTTTAAAATTTAAACCAAGTTTCGGGCTCACTAGTGCATGGTATAAGTCTTCTGGAGTACCTTTATCTAATGCATTGTTAACAGTGGCTATCGCTGTCTTATGATCAGTATGATCATTAGCTTTTATGTTACCATCATTTATAATATTCTGAAATATCTTGTGCCAATTTGTAATACTCTCAACATCAATGTCTTTGCAACTTTCAGTTATTTCTTTAACAACATCACAGTAAAAATCTATATTATTTGGATCATAATTTTTAACTTTCACCCAATCTTCATTGAAAATTTTGTGTAATTTGTTGACATCATTAGTTTTACATGCAGAACATAAGGACTTCCAAAGATACTTGTAATTAGTGGCAGTAATATGACCTTGTATTTCAACTAAGGTAAGAAGTTCATCATATTCATCTGGTACATAACTATCATTCAGAGAATGATTATGAGCAACTTGTAATTTTTCATATTTTGCTGCTTTGAGAATTTCTTTGTACTCATCCATTAGAAAATTTTGGACATGTTTTATTTTCAAATGAGGATTTAGTAATGCAGGAGTTATTGATTTTTCTGTGTCCAATAAATTGTTAAGCTCAATTAAAGCATTTTGAGCAGAAGCGTTGTTATCTAAGTTGCTATTATTTGATAAAATACCACTTATCTTTTGAAACTTTGGAAGTGGATGTTTACATTTTTGTAAGTCTTTAGAAACTGAGTCCAATTGTTCATCTAAAAAAGTATAACTTACAATTAAACAATGTAAAAAAAAGAGGCCAGCATATTCATTCTTAATATGAAAATGAAAACCATGCTACATACAATTTATGAAAAAAGTTGCCATGTTGTTTATATATTTTTTACTCTCATTCTTTATATTAATGTGTTAATGGCACATCATGTGAACTTTATCATAAATAGATAGTAAAAAAAGAGGTAAACATGACATTAAATTGCAGCAACTAAAAAAGTCGAAGTAATAAAAACTTACGGATGCAACTTTTTTATTAAAATAATTAACAATGAAAATATACCTGTGAATACTGCTTTACCAAAAACATCATGAATAATTGGTGCTTTGCCAAGTTTAAATAAATGTGAACTTAACGCATGTAAACAATATATAACTTTTGGCATATTTTTGTTATCATAAATATCTGTTGTTTCTGGTTGAAATGTCTGAAAATATTATGAATTATTTTAAATAATTACTGCAACCGTTTAAAGTAGCAATTTGTTTAGATGTTACATTTTTGCCCATATGTGTATTTGTTTCAATTTAGGCCATATTTAATTTATAAATATTGTATGCATATGTTGTATTCATATTAAACACTTTTTAATATTTTTCTGCTGAGCTTTACCACACTGGCAAAGTGTGGCTTGGCTTCTCTCAGATTTCCTCATAATGTTTTCCTTCTCCGTAAATATTAACATCTTGTAAAATTTAAAATAAAAATTGTACTTTTTATACATATAGCTTTCCCTCACATCTACCAAATAACTAAAGCTTTATTTTTATTTTCAATTAGGAATAATAAAATTAAAATCTTTTTTGAAATTAAATTTTTTAATTTAACTTTTTTTGAAATTAAATTATTTTTCTTAATTGATATGTATTCAATTTACATCTGTCACAGTTTTATCAATATAATTGTGAATAACGAGTAAGTAAATTATTTTGTTCTTTGTGTTTTTTATAATATGTATATATTTTCATACCACATCTTTCTATGAATTATTTGTTTAGAAAATTAAGATTTACTCACCACAGGTAACTCTGTCCTTTTTAAGACTTGCAAAAATTTATTTATGTTATCAGTGTGTTTAAACTGCAGTCCCATCATCTAAAAGGTTGTAAAAAATATTAAAAATTCCAAAATAGTTTAAATTAGTTAAATCTAATTCAATATTTTTATTCAATTAGCAACTCATTTCTTGATCTTGAATTACTTACTTTATAACGCCTTTGGTCAATGTCGTAAATTTTATTTAAGGGAAGAAGATCAGGTGCAATAAAGTTGCCTAATTTTGCAAGATAAACTCCATTACGTAAGTTTTCTTCGAATTCAATAGCAGTAGGAAGTTTCTCTCTCAGGCAAGATTCCATCCATGTCTTGGCTTCTTCTAGTCGACACAGATATTCGTAGGCAATAGTCCGTTGTCGAATAATATCCATTTCCTGTGCAGTTTTTCGAACTTCATCATCACCTAAAGTATATAAAGCTTCATAAAAATCTACGTTCACAATTGCAAATAAGTATCTAGGTATGTGCTGGAAGAAAGATGTAATAAAATAGCCTTACAATCGTCAATTTTTCCTATAAGTGTATCCCTTGTGCCTTTCCCCATGACTTCAAAGAAGACTTGGTAGTTGTAACTATTATTTTTTATTTCTTTAAGTATATTTTATGTATTTTAGTACAATATATTGAATTTATTAATATATTATATTGAAAATTGAAATATGTACTGCACAATTTGTAAACATTCTTTCATTGTTCAAAATATTTTTCAGTTGATCATAGATTCGTTTTGTCTCTATACATTTAAAAGGCAATGGATAACGTATTAAACAGCCAAGAATATTATTTATTTAGAAGGTATATTGGAATCTCTGAATCATATAGATTTAATAATAAAATATTGTAATTTTAAAGCTTATATTTAAAGGAACAAAAGAAGTTAAATCTACTAACACATTTTATCAACATTTTAAATGGCCATCTTGAAAAAAAAAATTATTGACACCCAATATTAATTTATTTAGAAAAATCTCGATACATTATTATATTATAATATAGCAAATATAAATAAATTCACAAACTACAATATTTTTTAGCACCTGCAAATTATTAAAAAATAGTAATGGAAGAAGAAAGTAATATATTTTTCGGGCAAAATAATCAAGACTCAACCAATGAATGTATATGTGGTGATATTGTTAGAAAATTGTCTAGTGAAAAAATTGAAACTTCTGATAGAAAAGCATTGATTTTATCTACTGTTGCTAGAACTGAAAGTTATCTCAGAGAACGTCGTATTCCAGAGCTAATTCGTTTTTTGCTTACAATGATTATTTCTCATTCGCCAGATAAGCCAGTAGTTTTTCTTGAAAAATTGTTAGATGATTGCATGCTTTTTCGAGCTGGGCATGGAATACCACCAGTATTATTTAAAAACAAGTAAATTATTAATATTTTTATTGTTGGTTTTTAACCGCCGACGCAAACACGACGGGGTGGTTTTTGGGACGGGGGGGGGGGGGGCGATTGAATAAGTTAGGCGTGTCGCTGTGTGAGCGTGTGTGAGTGTGTGTGTGTGTGTGTATGTGTGTGTGCAGTGTGTGTGTGTGCAGTGTGTGTCTCTGTGGCATCGTCGCGCCCGTACGGATGAACCGATTTGGATTTGTTTTTTTGGTTGAAAGGTGAATTAGTCGGGAGTATTCTTTACTGCTATGTTTTATAAAAAAATGAGAACAAACTGTCAAAGAAACATTGCATTATGCAGTCGGAGATATAATAAATAGCTATTATAGGTAAGTACATGTTTTATACTAGCTGCGAGTCTTGCTACAGAGTGTCTCCGACGGCGTAATACTATATTTCTTCGTCAACGTGTTGTCATCTTTTTAGTTTGCTTTTTACGGAGTCGAGTTTTTTTATAAATTATATTTTATTAGATGACGAGGATTGACGCCAGTGAAATATTCAAAGCAATTAAACTATATGCAAGAATTTAGTGAAATAATATTAATAAATACTTTTTAGGCACTTAGAAGCTGTTATTAAGAGTTTTGATCCTGGTCAACGTGGATGGTTATCTGCGGGCCAAGTTCAACGTATATATGCAACTTTGGGTTTTACAACGGAAGAAATTTTTGAAGAAAGAATACCGTGCAATTTAGTTTTAAGTAATTTAAAAAAAACACAAGAAATTGAATTGTTACACTTATTAGAAGCAGGCTTAATTAAAGACAACAAAAGCGATGATCTCAAATCTGTCAGTCTAGATAATTAGAAGACTAAGAAGCAATATGAAAGATAAAGTTATATTTTATAAAACTCCATTATTTAACCGTTACCGTTTGACGACACATTTGGCTTCGAGTCCCGTTGGGGACCGCATTCATTTGTGTGATGGGCACGAATGTTTGTACTTGTAGCGCTGTGCTCGTCTTCGATATTTCTCTTGATTGTTATTTAAATAGTCATAAATACGGTTGGAAGATACATATTATACGTTTACGCAAGAAGGTATCGAAGGACAAAGTATGCCTAAGCCGTGTTTTTTATTATAAATATGTCGTAACAATGTTTTCTCCCGTAATTCTTCTCGTGGTACATCGGTAAATATATTTTAAATTTTACTCAAATCCGTAGACCACGTAAAGCGAGAGGACGTAAATCGTAATGTATAACCTTTTTTTTTTAAATTTAGTTTGTTGCGAGTTATACATTTTGTTCATTTTATACGCATCCATAAGTTATAATTAATTGAAAGTTGAATTATTTTGTACTTTTTTCATAATGGTTTCCTAAAGACAAATATATTAAAAAATAATAACCTATCGTATTTCATCCACTTATCTATTATAGGTATCTTGCCATCCACGCGGCTCGCACCAGTTTTCTATACATATAATAAAATTGTAACAAAGTCAAATCTGTACATTAAATATTTTTTTGGAAAATATAATTGAAATAGACATTATTATCGATACAGAGTCCGAATCTATAGTTTTTAGAATTTTTGTCTGTCTGTCTGTCAGTCTGTCTGTCTGTCTGTTACCGCATCACAAGAAAACCACTGGACAAATTTTGATGAAATTTAGTATGATGATAGCTGGTTATCCGGGTCAACATATAGGATACTTTTTACCGCGGGAAAATATCGCATTTCTGAGCAAAAATACTAAAACTTTATTGTAAGAGTATAACTAATATGTAAAGCCTAAGAATTTGGTTTTTGGTCATCTGAACGCGGGCGGATTACAACAGAAAAAGTGTTTCATTGTTTTACAAATTATTTTCTGCTTGAACAGGAACATTGCAAGTGTGATAATTGTTAAAAAAATTGTAACAATTAACAAATTGTTATTTTTCACTTTAAATGCGTGTAAAAATATTTTTAAGATTTCTTTTTCAATTTGATAAAATAAAAATAAATTTAATAAAATTTAATAAAAAGTATTTAAGTACTATGATAAGATTCATTATATACATTCAAATATATCTGCTATATTTATTTATTTTTTCTTTATTTATCTTTGCTTACCTACCATTAAACAGCGCAATATAATATAATGTATACAAGTATTAGTAAATATCTAATAAATAAATCTATAATATGTGATGTTCTCCTGACCGATTCCGGCCACGGCGGCCAATCTTGTTGAGATTAGCCAACTGCGCAGGAGATATTATAGTGCACAAGTGTACGCGCAGACACGACCAGTGAGAGTAAAGGCGCAGGACCGACGGCTTTACGTGCTCTCCGAGGCACGGGGGTGAAACACCGCCAACTTCCCAACTCCGGGCTGTTACTATACATATGCTGAGGCTTACTATACAGAAGACTCAATAACTAAACTTGGCCCGACCCGGGACTCGAACCCAGGACCTCCGGGTGTGCAGCCGTACATGCTAGCCACTACACCACCGAGGCAGTTTTATAATATGTAATGCTACATTTACATGCTTGCCGAGGCTTGGCAAACGTCTACAAGCTCCAAGCCTTTACAGACGCTTGGATGCCATTTACACGCTTGCAGTTGCGACTTGCGAGTGCATTAGTGTGTCTGAGTTCTGGATAGGCGAGCTGTGCAGACGTCCACAGACGTTGAAGTTAAGTCTAAGACCTATACATATAATTAAATTTTAAGTTGTAACTAAGTTGAATCTGTACATAAAATATTTTTTGGAAAATCTTATTGAAATAGACATTATTATCGATACAGAGGTCGTATCTAGTTTTTATAATTGTGTATGTCTGTCTGTCTGTGACCGCATCATGGAAAAAGTACTGTTATCCGGGTCATCATATAGGTAGTATATCACTAGTATACTTTTTAATGCGGGAAAATATCTCATCTCTGAGAAATGTATACTAAACGTTAAAACGTAAAAAGGAAAAAAAAGAAAGGAAACGAAAAGTTCGGTAGAGAATATGATGGATGTTAAAAGGCCATAATTTTGTCGTTTGACCGTATACAACACATCGTAAAAACTCCCGTTCGGCGCGAGAGCGACTCTAAACACGCACCAACGTGTGCCACAAGCACTTGCCGCAACCTTCTTTTGATCTGTGTTCAAAGACCGACACTAACCCGGATCGTGACAGGATCACGCAAGCCAAGCTAAACACCCCGTTCACACGCTTGTGTTTGTAGACGCTTGTCGAACCTTGCCAAGCGTGTAAATGTAGCGTTATATCTATGGATCACTGTCTACGATTTTTATTTCAGGTTTATCATCTGACATCTATGTTTTTAATCTTTACTCTTGATAATCTGTATTCCGAAACTCCGATCAATGACATAGTACTGTAAAATAAAATTTTAAAATTTAAATTACATTTAAAGACGAAGGATTGAACATAATTTATTAATATTAAATTTAGTGAAAGAAAGTATCTAATAAAAAGCATTAGTATAACGCTTACGATATTTTGATAGGCTTAAATGATTTAATAAATGAATAAGTGCGGAACAAATTATCAGTATAGATATTTATTGATCAGCAATTGATAAACTTGGTTTTTAATAATTAAAATTATTTAGACAATGTGAAAAAATGTTTTTAATAGGATTATTTATACACCTCGTATTTTTGTTTTCTATATTTGATATTTATTTTAAATCACCTATTGTTAAAAATGTAGTACCATATCAACCAACTCATGTAGCCCCAGTTGATCGTTTAGTCCTTTTCGTTGTGGATGGACTGAGAGCTGAATCTTTTGTTAATCATACCACTATGCCATATCTTAGGTATGTCAAAATTATTAAAATTTTACAAATATTATATCAATATTGTGTAAGTATTTTTATGAATATTATAGGTCTATAGCAAATACTCATGGAAGGTGGGGAATTTCACGGACTAGAGTTCCCACTGAATCGCGACCAGGACATGTAGCTATAATAGCAGGTTTCTATGAAGATCCATCGGCTGTAGCAAAAGGATGGAAAGAAAATCCAGTTGATTTTGATTCAGTTTTCAACCAGAGTTCCTACACTTGGTGCTGGGGAACATATGATATTCTAGAAATATTTACAAAAGGAACGGTGAATCACATTTACACAAATAAATTGGATCCATATGATCAAGCTTTTAGCTCTGACAAAAATGTCACATTGTTAGACGACTGGGTTTTTACAAAAGTAAAAGACTTTTTTTCTAAAGCTAGTCATGATGCAAATGTAAATGAGAAGTTAAGAAGTAAAAAAATAGTTTTCTTCTTGCATTTATTGGGGACTGATACCTCTGGACATACACATAAGCCAAAAACACAGTAAGAATAAAATTACAAATGTTATTATATAGATAAAAGTATAAACATATATTGAATATTATTATAATTGTTTCATTTTACAGAAATTTTTTAACAACTGTAAAATTTGCTGATGAAAACATACAGGAAGTTGAAAAGTTAATTAGAGATTATTATAATGATGATGGTCGTACTGCATTTTTAATGACTTCAGATCATGGAATGACTGATTGGGGTAATGTTTACTTCACATCACATTATAATTTAAAAAACATATATATTTTACTACACTATCTTACTTTTGTATGATTTATAACAGGGTCTCATGGTACTGGTGATAATCATGAAACAGAGACTCCATATGTGCTGTGGGGAGCAGGTGTAAACCAAATCGAAAGCAAAGATAAACAATTGGATCCAGAGACAAATTCAATGTCCCTTGAGAACAGATTTGATATAAACCAAGCTGATTTGACCCCTCTTATGTCAACTTTGCTTTCAATTCCTGTACCCACCAACTCAATTGTAAGAGACCTTTTAAACAGATTTCTATTTTATAATTAAGCAATTTTATATACTAAAAACACTAATTAATTTATTGATAATCTAAAAAAAATATAATTGTAATAAGTATTATATAAGGGAATATATATGAATCAGTAAGTCCTAATCTGCAGTGTGACATTTACTTATCAGAGCCAGATTTTAAAGTCTTGGGGTGTCATTTTTGAAAAATAAGGAAGTATCCTCTTCATGTAGGGACTGGGGCCTGTGGTTGCAGACTTTCCTTTACCTAAATCCAACTACTTATTTTAAATTTTAAATGAAAATTATACAATATGTGTACTCCAGTGTATCTTACATAGGTATACTATATGATGTTATATTAAGATGTTTTACTATAAAATATAAGAAAATTGTATTAGTTTAATTCAGTACATATAATCAATAAGCAACATATATTTTATGTAAATGAAATATTTATTTATAATTTACTATGATTTTTCAGGGTCAGTTACCGAGCGCACTCCTGAATATGACATTAGAAAATAAAGCTAAAGCTATCTACAGTAATTCTAGGCAAATGTTATCCCAATATAATAAAAAGAGACTGGATGTGGAAGCAAATGCTATATCTATATTATATCAACCTTATGAACCATTTGATGGTAACAAAGTGGATGAGATAATTAGTTTTACAGAGAAGCTAATTGAAGACGAACAGTACGAAAAGCTTATATTATTAAGCGAAGAAATCATACAATTAAGTTTGAATGGACTGAATTATTACCATGATTATTACCAAAGACCATTATTGATCACAGTAACCCTTTCATTTATGGGTTGGATTGTTTACTTGTTAAGAGTGTTGTTAGAACAAAAAATCTTCACGCAAGCCGAGTATAACAGCCATAAAAATTATAAATTTAAAAACAAAGGTGTAATTGTAGACATTTTTATACAATTTATTTGTATTTTGACAAGTATTATGCTCACTTATATAATTTATGGTAAGTTATATTGAAATATTCGAAACAAAATATAACTTTCTAGAGATTACCCTTTTAAATTTTTATATTAACATTTTGAATTTTAACGAAACATCTTTAGTACTGGTTGACAAGTCTAAGAAAATTATAAATTATATACTTACATGTAATATAATTACATAAAAAAAATATTTCAAATATTGGCCATATTTCTAATATCTCTTTCTTTTTAATTAGTTATGTTATAAAATATTATCCATTCTATATAGCAGAACTCCGCAAAATCTAAAATTCTATTAACATTACGCCTTTATTGTTAGGCGATATTAAAATATAATTTCATGTACCCAATAATAAAAAGATTTTTTTCTTATTATATATTTAAGAACTTAATATGATTATATTTATTAAAATTATTAAACATAATAATGATTTATTTGAATTTTGAAAAATAATTATTTACTATTTTTTAAATGATTTCAGCACAAGATCTACCTGTACAGTATTATGTATATTTCTTGTTACCTATATTTTTGTGGAAATATGCCCTAACACCAATTAACTTATGGTTCCAAGTTATGGAAATGCTGAAAAATAACAAAAAAATGTTTTGGCTCAACCTAGAGATACTATGTTATATTATGGGATCTATTTGTTTGGTAAGACTACTAGCAAATCTTGTTTTGCTGTTATAAGAATTATTACTGTAGAAAAAAAGTGTTAAGAAAGTTCCCTAATAACCTTCATCAATAAATTTAATAAATTTTTATATGAACCACATACATTATAATTAATTATTATATTCTGCAGTCTGACCACAAAATTACAATAAAAGTGATTTCTTATATAAATATCTATATGTATTTATAAATATAGATATTTATTTTCAATGTTCTTCTAATATGCCAAATCTATACTATATAATATTATAAAGAGGCAGTTTGTATGTTCGTTGTAACCCAGGGGTAACGCGCTCGCTTAGGAAATCAACTAAAGCGGGTTCAAACCTCGTGTCTCGCATCTTGAATATTTTCAAGTCTAAATTACCACTTCTCATACGGTGAAGGAAAACATCGTGAGGAAACCTGCATGTCTGAGAAAACTTAGCAAGTTTTCGAAAGTCATGTGCAGTCTGCCAACCCGCACTTGGCCAGCGTGGTGGACTATGGCCTCATCCCCTCGAGTTGAAGGGAGGCCCGCCCCCAGCAGTTGGACTTTAAAAAGGGCTGAATACACAATACACATTGCAATACTTGTTCCAATAAAACTAACTAACATATTTGGGTTCCAGGGAGTAGCATTAACACATAGATGGGCGTTGAGCATTCCATTATTTGGTATGGGCTTGTGGCCATTTCTATCATTTTCAAGACATCATTTAAGTAACATTGTGTGTATGGTGTGGGCAGTTGGATGTTTTCTCCTAAGCATATTTTCATTTTTGTCAGTAGTTGGAAAAGATGTACATATTGAGTTAGTGTGAGTAATATTTTGGTTTTTATATTAATTATATATTATTATTAAGTAAAAAAAAACAATATTCAAAAATAAGGTAAGATATTTATATATGTACTTTATCAATACTTTATTTAATTCATAAAAATTCAAAATATTTTATTCAGGATTAAATTATTACAATTTTTTACTGAATGTCATGAATTTACTACCAGTTCGGTAAGAAGAAGCCTCAGACCTGAGAAGAACTGGCGGAAGGAACTCAGCGCAACTCAACTCATATTAAATTTTACCTTTTCTATTTCAGTATTTTAGCTGGAGTTCTATGGTTATTATTATTATGTGTATATTTTTGGAAAATTTTTATCCCTAATGGCATTGATAGCTATGAAATTAAAAGAGAGATTGTTGTCAGCTCTATACAGATATTACTTTTGCTGACATCCTTGCAATTTATCTTTATTCAGTCAAAGAGATTTGAAATAGGAGCACCTATTTCGAAAACCTTACAGTCCTTATGTTGGATTATATGTGGTAAGATATTTTTATTATGTTTATAGAGTTAGTTTATGATTAATTCCAACTTATAAATATTGGTTACTATATTCTATTCACGGAGTGAACCATGCAAAGTGCTTTCTCTGTCCCACAATAGCACATAAACTGATAAGGACAGAAAACTAGCTCCACCCATTAACACTTGCAACTGGTAATCATAGGGCTCGTTCATGTTGCTAATGCTTTAGTGAGAAATTATTAACAACTAGCACTGCCCGCGGCTCCGTCCGCGTTCAGATGACCAAAAAACAAATTCTTACGTTTTACATATTAGTATATGTACTCTTACATTGCAGTTTTTGTATTTTTTCTCTGAAATGAGACATTTTTCCGCGGTAAAAAGTATCCTATATGTTGACCCGGATAACCAGCTATCACCATACCAAATTTCATCAAAATCTCTTTAGTGGTTTTTCTGTGATGCGGTAACAGATAGACAGACAGACACACAAAAATTCTAAAAACTATAGATTCGGCCTCTGTATCGATAATAATGTTTATTTCAATAAGATTTTCTAAAAAATATTTAATGTACAGATTCGCCTTAGTTAGAATTTTATTATATGTATAGATTTGTAATAAAATAAAATCGACATACAAATAAATTCAACATTAAAGTAGAATTAACTGTATTTTTAAATATTTGTATACATTATTTATTATTTTTCGCTTTCCGACGTATCACTGTCATCTCCTACATTGATAATAAATCAGGTAACTACACGAGAGACGTCTGAATGTTACGGAATGCAACGACGGACTAGTTATGAGTTAACTTACGACTTGCATTGTAATCGCGGCCTATAGCGATACAATATAGCAGTAACCGCGGCTTTGCCCGCGTTCAAATTTCCGGTCGCTACCAAACTTTACGGGATCACTTGCTGGGCTAATCTGGATCTGGAAGGTTGCCTGAAAATTTCATCAAAATCGCTCTAGCCGTTTTGGAGTCCATAGGGAACATCCATTCCATACACAAATCGATTTTTATATATGTACACTAGCGGCTCACCCTCGCTTCCCTCGGGTTCGCCTCTTGAAAAACAACAACAAACCTATCCCACGGGAATCGTACATTTCCGGTATCAAAAGTAGCCTATGTGTTATTTCAGACTATAATCTATCTCTGTGCTTTTCATCCAGATCCGTTTAGTCATTCTGGTGTGACGTCACAAACATCCATACTCACAAACTTACACATTTATAATATATATTTATATAAAGGTATACAAAGATATATTTGTAGATACTTATACGAATATTTTTGCTATATTTCAGTTGTGCTTCCCGTATTGCCTTTGGCGTATTCAAAAAAGTATATAAACCGACTTTTAGGTATTAATACATCTTTAATGAATTTTTACCTCCTCTTGTCAGTGTCCCATGAAGGTTTATTTATGGTCACCTTAATATTCAATGTAAATTGTTGGATGTTTATGGAATTTAAACTACTTGGTGAAAGGAAAAAAAAGGTAATTAATATTAGATACATAAAAAACAATAAAATACCGTAGTGTTAACTGTTGACATACAACAGTTAACACTACGGTATCTTTAATATTCTGATTTGATTATTTTATTGCATATTATATTTCTTCGTCTTTGGTAAAATTTACTAGCAATGTATAAAATTATTATTATAAACGTAGTGTACCTATGTGGTATGAGGTAATATGATTTGTAACGGGCATAATATATAAGTATAGATATTACATTAGATTATAGATCGAATATGTATTGATTGGACAGTCTCTCGCTTGGTCTCGCAAGTGCAATACGCACTTCAATAAACGCTTAATATTAAAGCCTTATTATTTTCTCCTCACGTCCGCCACATATTGGTGACCCCGACTGAAAAACAACACCTGACCGAAGAACAAATATAGGATGGCTACCAATTCTAAACCAGTTGTACAAGCGAAGGAAAATTTACGTGAAGATTCAGAACTGGCAACAATCAGCGTATCATCGCGAATACCGGAATTTTGGTGCGACCAGCCGCGATTATGGTTCGCCCAGTGTGAGGCGGTACTAGCTTTTCAAAAATTAGGCGATGAAGCGAAGTTTAACTTGTTGCTTCCGAAATTGGGCAAGCAAGTCATCGAGCAGGTTAGCGATATTGTGTTTAATCCACCAGGAACACATAAATATGAGACCTTGAAAAATCGTTTGCTCGCTGTTTACGAAGAGTCGGAGAACCGACAGTTCCAGAAGTTGCTGGGGGAAATGGAACTTGGCGATCAGAAGCCTTGTCAGCTTCTTAGGCGAATGCGGGATTTGGCTCGTAATAAGATACCTGATGAAACGCTGTGTATCATGTGGCAAGGACATTTACCCACGTCAGTTCGAGCGGTGTTGGCAGCGAGGTAAAGGATCTAGACAACCTTGCAGCTATTGCTGACAAAATTATGGAGACCAGGAGACATTTAAATGCTGCTGAAGTAATATTTGTTCAGTACCCAAACGAGAGAAATCACAGAAAAATATATTTGTTCACCCTGAATTGCAAAAATGCTCTCATGTATTTTTACGGTGCGATAAATTATGTAAGTCCTTAAATCCACCATATTCAGGACCATACAAAGTATTAGACCGTAAAGAAAGACATTTTAAAAATTAATGGCAGACAAAGAATCTACTGTTTCTATTGATAGATTAAAGCCAGCATTTTTATTAAATAATAATGAAGAATTCGATACGCGGGATAGCACTAGTATCGAAATTCCAAACAAGGAGACACATGTAAATAATAAAGTAACGCGATCCGGCCGAATCAGCAAGCCAGTAGTAAGATTCCGAGATCAATTTATTTAAAATCTACATCTTGGTGAAGTTATACACATTCACATTCTCTAATTATATTACCAATAATAATAATGGGTTATAATCAGAGCAAAGAAGAAGGAAGAAGTTATAATCGCCCAAATGGGAGGAAATAATACTTCGCAAATTTCTGAGTTAAAAGTTGATATATATTTCGGCTTATTATTTTTAATAATCCTTATTCTAATCACGTTTGGAATATACAGATATTGCCGAAGGAAATTTAGAGAGACTATAAGGAAGGAAATGCATAGCATGCCAGATTTAACTGCTGCAGTATGATGTTTTAAGTGCCAGTGTATGTCTTAGTTAAAAAGTGCAAGTATAATATACTGTATATGTTAAACACATAATGTCGAGTAGTGCAGTGAATAATTATGCTGAATAGGGAAAAAATGTCATGTTCGAAAAAATAATTTGTGATAGATGTAAGGAAACTGTAATAGCATGTAATTATGATATTTTTAGGTATTAATAATATTATTATTTTTTTTGCACACTATATTTTATGTTTAGAATTTAATTTTATACATTTTACATATTTTTTTTGCGTTAAAATGTAATCATTTTTATATATTCTTAATAACTTTTATATATTATTTTTTACTTTTTTTTAAAAAGGGGGGAATATTGTACCTATGTAACATGAGGTAATATGATTTGTAACGGGCATAATATATAAGTATAGATATTACATTAGATTGTAGATCGAATATGTATTGATTGGACAGTCTCTCGCTTAGTCTCGCAAGTGCAATACGCACTTCAATAAACGCTTAATATTAAAGCCTTATTATTTTCTCCTCACGTCCGCCACACGTAGCTAGATTTGATTTCAATAGATCTAATAGGTCTAGGTCTAGACGATACAGATTAAGGTTTCACCATTCTGGCGTTGCTATGAGCAAAGCAGGAGGCTGTAGCTATATGATTATCTGTTGGAACATTTTTTACTTCACTAAAGCTAACGGGCTCAAAGCCTACATAAGTTTTTTAAGTTATCCCATGGAAATCGCGTAGTTGCGATTTATCTATAAAATAATACTGTAAGTCCCAATATGTAGTACAGTATATAGGTTAAATTTTATCACAATAACCAGTTGTGATAAATAACAGGCGTCAAGGAGTAGTTCTAATGTTATGATAACTATACAAAAAAGGCAGTGGTAGTCCAGTGGTAACGCGCCAAACCAAGTAAGTCGGATTCAAATCCTGGCCTGACTGACACCTTTGATATTTTTATGTGCGAATCATTTCCTACAAGATTACCACTTGTCTTACGATGAGAGTAAAAAATTTTAATATCGTGAGGAAATATGGATGTCTAAGAGAACCTAGCATGTTCTCGAAATACCTACTCAGTCCGCCAACCCGCACTTGGCCAGCGCAGTGGACTATGGCCTCATCCCCTTCGTATTGAAGGGACGCCCACACCCAGCAGTGGGACGTTGAAAAAATACTGTATACATATATGAACAAACACATTTTTGTATGTTGACATTAAGTTACTAGTAATATGAATTATGTTTATAGAAATTTCCATTTTTTGTACTGTGGGTTTTATGTGCATTGATTAAAATTAAATAATAACTGTTATTATTATTTCTTACAGATTACTAATTATAGGTTTGAGACTAAGAACTTAAGAAAGAGAGAGAAAGATTTGGCCAACTTAGAAAGAAGTGTAAACAGCCATGATTTTAGAAGAGCTTTCTTTTTTGTATCCTTTTTTTAATGTTGTAATAAAACTCTTTTCTTAATAAATATGATTTATTGACGCTTCGAGTGACAATAATGTAAACCTCTAAAACAAACAAACTGTCACATTTATAATATTAGTAGGTATGGATGTTCTACACTCAAGTATGCAGTAATGTGCATCGTGTATTACAGCACATATTAGGTTAAGGTAATTTTATATTAAAAAAGTAATTTCCTTAAAGAAAACTTCAGACTTCATATATTATTTTAGCTTATTTCGGCACTGGCAACATTGCTTCACTCAATTCTTTTGAAGTTCGATGGGTATTATGTTTTACGACCTCTTTCCAGCCATTTGTGATGACTGCATTAGTTTTGTTGAAGACTCTATCGCCTTTCTTGAGTGTAGCTTGCACTTTCAGGGCTGTTCAAGATTTGACAAAGGTATTTTTTTTAAATCCAAATATACTCATACTTGTTTATATTTATATTTACTATTATAATACTAACGATTTAACTTGACTTTGCTTGGATGCGTCCCTAGGCACGTTTTAATTTTCTTCAACGGAACCCTAATTATTTTTCTAAAATAAAAGAAGCCTAAGTTATTCCTTATAACATATATATATCTGCCAGTGAAGTTCCTTAAAAATCAGGCCAGCCGTTTCGGAGATTGATTAGCCGGAACAAACAGACAGATAATTTTTTTAGAAGCTGTGTTTTTCTTCTGAATATCATATATAATTTCATACGCATTTAGTGATATTATTATTTTGACATATAATATATATGCTGTTATTTTGACATTAGAAACAAAAATTTCTATTTTATTTATCTGTATAGTTAAAGATATGTTTTGAAAATTCTTAACCCTTAGGTAAAATTAGTAACGCTAAATTTGTAGTTCTATGTTTATCTGATTAGTTGATATACTGATACTGATTGTAATAATATATTATGGTGACACCCTACAACAATTGCAACATAAAAAAAATTAAAGCAGGAAAAACTCATATAAACTTTTTTCGTCGAGAAAAAAAGTTTGTATCAGAAAGTTTGTAATGAAGATGTAACGTATTTACTTCAAATGTTTGAACCCAAAATATCTTTGGGATTGGTACGATTACGATATTTTGGCGCGGAAATAATATAATACCTTTATAGAGCACAGTTATTTTAAAATAACAAAAAATATATTTCTATTTTACTTAACTATGCAACTTGGATTTGTAGATTAGCATGATTTTTTTTATTAAACCCGAATAATGTGATTTCAGGCACCACTGGATTGCTTAAATATGATTGTTCTCATATTTTCAAATATAATGGGTCTTTATATGCTTTATCATGTAAAAAATACAGGAAGTTGGCTTGAAATAGGCACATCAATATCACAATTTGTAATAGTACAAGTAATAACATTGTTTATTGTTATAATTAATCAAATAGCCAAAGTACTGACTGAGACTGAGGCAGTCAATTCGTTCATGAAACTTTTTAAAACTAGGAAGAAGGAAGAATGAACGTACGGTATTACCACTGTTGTTCTAAATCTAATAATAATAATCTAAATGTATAGTTATATGTTTAATTCTATTTTTAAATAATCTAATAAACACTTGAAATTTTTATATTTATTTTCTTTTCTATTTCACTAGCGTTTGCCTTTGGGCTGTATAGTTTATTTATGTGTAATTGCTCTGCTTATAAAGGTCGTAGTGATGCTAAATAATCATTAAAAAATGTACTTTTTAATAAATATCATCTCTATAATCTCTGCGCCTTTGATTGCCCCACCACATTGTCTAATAAACTCCGTCAGTCTTTTCGTCGCCAATGTCACAAAGCCTTAACTCTAATGACGAAGGTCTCGATTTACGATCTACATGTAATTACATACGGTGCCGACACGTGGATACTGTCAGTGTGATTGGTCCATCAATTTATGGTCGCTCAGCGAACTATGGAGAGGGCTATGCTCGGAGTTTCTCTAAGGATTACGCGAATATTTGACATTTTAAATAAATTGTTAATTGTGGGTAGGCTGTCTGTAACAACTATACCTTCAAGACATGTAACTCCTCAATCTCTCCCGTGACTATGGATGCTGTAAAGCATTCGAAACGTCGGGAACCAAAAATCAAAATAAAACCGCGAAATAATCCGAAAAGATTTATTTAAAAATTTTCTAAGGAATTGAATCTGAATGAAGTGATCCGTCCGTCAGTGAACCAAAGTTGTCAACATGGCCTTTAGTAAACTGAAGTGGCAGTGAGCTGGTTACATTTATTGTAGAACCGATGGAGTAAGACGGTTTCTAAAGCGGAGATCACGTCTTGGAAAACGTAGTGTAGGATGCCCTCAACGTAGGTGGAGCGACGATAAACTCAAAGTTGGTAGAGGTTGGATGCGTAGAGCTAAAGATCGGGCTCAGTGGCGTGCGATAGGTGATAGGAGGTCAGTGGATGGAAGCAGGCTGATGACACAGCCTTTTATAATACCAACAAATATTGTATAAAATGTAAAAATATTTGTTCCAATAGGACTTCTTCTACTGTCGAATACTGTCAGACATTAGAGCGTTTAAATAAACAAACTTTTTTACTTCATATACCTGTTAGTTTCTAAGATTAGTATAATACATATGCGGTTCTTGCTAGAATGGTAAATCAAAACTAATATTACTCTTTTTTTCATATAATTTATAAAGCTATATATACTTAAATACCAAATAAGCAAATTACTTTGATCACGTTGACACATTCAAAAAAAATCTTAAAGTTGTCAGGCGTCAGCAGTAACAGTTATAATTCAAAAGTATTAGAAGCATATAGCTTTTCTGAACAATGATTGGAAGTGTATGAATATATGAAGTGAAATATATATATTCAATTCAATCTTTGTTATTAGATATAATAGTAGGGACCCATTTGGTTACTCTTTAATAAGGGGTTTATAACATAGTTTATTGTAAAGTGTTTTCACAAAAACCCAGTCAAACAGGCTTAATGAAATCATTTCCTTACTAGTTACCCTTTATAGGACGGATATCAAATAACCCTATCTATAATATTTTGCTCGATAAAAATGTGATTCATTTTTTTATTAGACTTTAAAATTATTCACTAACAATCTATACATATAATAAAATTGTAACTAAGCCGAACCTGTACATTAAATATTTTTTGGAAAATCTTATTGAAATAAACATTATTATCGATACAGAGGCCGAATCTATAGTTTTTAGAATTTTTGTCTGTCTGTCTGTTACCGCATCACGGAAAACCACTGGAAGGATTTTGATGAAATTTGGTATGGTGATAGCTGGTTATCTGGGTCAACATATAGGATTTTTTACCGCGGGAAAACGTCTCATTTCTGAGAACAAAATACAAAAACTGTACTGTATACTATACTATAGCGGCTCTTCAAGAAACTCGATTAGCTGATGAAGGTTCTTTACGCGAAACCAATTATACCTTCTATTGGAAAGGTAAAGATGCCACTCAAGTTCGCGAGCACGGAGTGGGCTTTGCTATAAGAAACGACCTACTGTGTTCTGTTGAAGGACCTAGAGGAATTTCAGAGCGTATAATGATCCTGCGCATTAGTACAGAAGGCGGCTTCATGACCATTATCGCTGCATATGCTCCAACACTGTCGTCAGCGCTAGAAGCAAAGGACCATTTCTATAACCAACTCAGTGAAACAGTGCGCGGGGTGCGTTCTGGTGACCGCTTGCTCATCCTTGGAGACTTCAATGCTCGCATTGGACAGGATAACACTGTGTGGCCTGAGTGTATCGGTGGACATGGTGTGGGCAGGCTGAATGCGAATGGACAGCGCCTTTTAGAGTTTTGCTCTCAAAATCAGCTTTGCATCACTAACACCTACTTTAAAGGCAAATTTATGCGAAAAGTCTCATGGATGCATCCCCGGTCAAAGCACTGGCACCAATTAGATGTTGTGCTTTATCGGAAAAAGAATCTTAGAGATATCTTACACACACGAACCTTCCACAGTGCTGATTGCGAATCCGATCAATCCCTTGTCATCTCTTCTGTTCGCTTGAATCCGAAAAAATTCCACTGTGCTCGTCCCATCGGTAAAAAGAAAATAAACCCTCCAAGCTCAGGTCACAGTCCCTCTATGGAAACATATGAGAAGCTGGTTTGTGCCGAAATCGCCACATGGAGCCCTGATATCTCTGCGGGCGAAGAGTGGGCGCGGGTAAAACTGCTTCTCACGGTCACCGCAGCTAAGGCCTTTGGATTCCAAACAAACCTAAATCAAGACTGGTATAAGGCAAATATTGACCATCTTCAACCGTTGCTTGACACCAAACGGCAAGCAGCTCTCAAACATCGTCTTGATCCAAATCCATACACACGGTGTGAACTCTCGCAAGCAAAAGCATCACTTCAGCGCAATGCTCGATACTACGCAAACTTATACTGGATCAATATCTGTAAAAATATTCAATCTTGCGCAGATACAGGGAACTTTGGTGGAATGTACGCATACATCAAAAACGCACTAGGACCTGTTCCAAAGAAATTAGCTCCTCTTAAGGAGTCAGATGGCACCATTATAACTGACAAAAATCGCCAGCTTCGTCGGTGGGTGGAGCACTACAGCGGACTTTACTCCCAACCGGTTGACATCTCATCCGAGGCACTACACTTAATTCCTGAGTTGCCTATTTGCGCAGAGCTCGATGAGATTCCTACTGTAGAAGAGTTTCACACCGCTATTAACCAGCTTAAGCGTGGCAAGAGTCCAGGGGCTGATGGCGTCTTAGCTGAAATAGTAAAGATACGGTGCGTAGCTCCTGTCCTGTTCAAGCTATTCTTAAAATGTTGGGCTGAGGAGTATGTACCTCAGGGGATGCGTGACGCTAATATCATCACCCTGTACAAAGGGAAAGGCGACCGCGGTGATTGCAACAGCTATCGCGGCATTTCACTCCTCAGCATACCTGGTAAACTATTCGGTCGTATAATATTGGCAAGACTGCAAAAGTTAGCAGATCGTGTCTATCCAGAGGCCCAATGCGGTTTTCGTGCCCAACGTTCTACGATGGATATGATTTTCACCCTTCGTCAACTGCAGGAAAAGTCTAGAGAGCATCAGTCACCGTTGTACATTGCATTTGTAGACCTCAACAAAGCCTTTGACTCTGTCAGCAGAGAAGGTCTTTATTCAATGTTGGAGAAAATAGGATGTCCGCCAAAACTTCTATCTCTCATAAAGTCGTTTCACCACAACATGAAAGGCTCAGTTGTCTACAATGGGGATACGTCCGAACCATTCGACATGAAGAGAGGAGTGCGACAGGGCTGTGTCTTGGCACCTACACTCTTTGGCATATTCTTTTCGCTTCTTTTAAGAGTCGCTTTTGGCGAAACCAGTCAGGGTATCCACATTCATACGAGAGAAGATGGTAAACTATATAATATATCTCTCTTAAAGTCCAAACGCCATCGCAAGGGCCAGTTTGTTGATTCCCTTTTATTTGCTGACGACGCTGCTTTTGTCGCTACCACTACAGGTGAACTCCAGGACATAGTGAATAAATTTTCGAAAGCATGTGCATTGTTTAACATGTCCATAAACGCTAAAAAGACCGTTATATTAGCGCAAGGCTGCACGGAGAAACCAGTGATTTTGCTGGACGGTATACCTTTGGAAGTCGTTGAGAGCTTTTGTTATCTTGGGTCGACCGTATCTAGTAATCTTTCTCTCGACGGAGAGATCGACGTGCGAATTGGCAGGGCGGCTACGATGTTCGGAAAGCTTTGTTCAAGAGTGTGGAACAACAAACACATAACAATCAAGACCAAGATGACCGTATATCAAGCATGCATATTGAGTATTCTCCTGTACGGAGCTGAGACGTGGACATCGTATACTCGACAGGAGAGGCGATTAAATGCTTTTCACATGCGCTGTCTTCGTAGCATTTTGGGCATCTCATGGAAAGATCGAGTGACAAATGAAGAAGTGTTGAAGACTGCACAACTGCCTAGTGTAACAGGTCTTCTCAAACAGAGAAGATTGCGCTGGCTAGGGCACTTGCATCGAATGAAACCTTCTCGTTTGCCAAGACAGGTCCTCCTCGGTGAAATAGCAAACGCCAAGCGACCAGTCGGTCGTCCCTTATTGAGGTTCAAGGACAGCGTTAAGCGTGATATGTCCAGCTTCAACATAGAAGTAGCCAACTGGGAAAAAGCTGCAGAGGACCGTGCCCGTTGGAGAAAATTATGTGGGGATGGCGTAAAGTTGCACGACCACGTCTGGCTCAATGAGTTAGCCCGTAAACGCGTGTGCAGACACAAGCGTGAGACCAACCAACTCCATAAACCCTCTTCGTCGCAGCAAAATCAATACGTCTGCAACAATTGTAATCGTAGCTGTAACTCCCGTATCGGTCTGTTCAGCCATGAGCGGAAATGCAAACTACCGGATGCTACATAAAATCATCTTTTGTAGATGGAACTAGGCCTATGATGATGATGATGACTGTATACTAATATATGTAAAACTTAAGAATTTGGTCATTAGAACGCGGGCGGAGCCGCGGGCCATGCTAGAACTTAATATAACAAAGTAAAGAGAACGTCCACACGCAGCCACAACATGCACAAAAATTTTAGATAAAGAGGTAAATAGCGAAAATCATTCCCTCTACTAATTCTGCTACAATGAAAATAGATTTTATTTCCTATACTTTTAGGATTATATTCTATTATCACTGCTTCAAAAGAAGATTAACGTCATAGATTGGCTTCTGAACGATATATCCCTTTTGATAGGGTTAATTCTAAAAATAGGGTTAACATTACAAAATATAACATTTTCAATTTGCTGGAAGACGGGTTACACTGTACACATTTAATGAATAAAAAGGTTATTCTAAAATTATTTTGAATGATTAACCATTTTATAAAGCTTACGATGGAAGGGACAAACGGCGGGGAAAAGAAAGGTAGGAAGACCTATAAAACGGTGGACTGATGAAATAAAGAAAGTGGCAGGAGAACAATGGATGAAGATTGGCAAAGATAAAAAGCGTGGAAGGAGCTGGAGGAGGCCTTCACCCAAACAGGGATCCATATCTCGGAACAAAAAAAAAGAATAATCATACTAACAACTGTAGCTAAGGGAAATGATATTCGAAAACTGGTAATTAACACTTTAATATATATACTATTATTGTACATGGGTTACAGAATAGATTTTAACACAATGTAAGTATAGATATAAAACAACGGCGTAAGAGAGAGCGGCGTGGTCTAGTGTAATGCGCGTCCCGAACATAACTAATTACCCCTCCTGTCCGCGGTAGCGGGCCGGCGGGCGACGCGTGCGGCGGGGGTGTCGTATTGCATCATCTTTTAATGTACGAATTCCGTTCGCTATATCCTCCCCCTCCAAGTCACAGCCACTACTAGGTGGTTGAGACTTGGCTGGACGTCCTCTCTTACGCAAGGTGACAGCGTCAGACCTAGAAGTCCCTTGATACAAAGACAACGCGCTGGCATGGTACTTGCCCTTAACCTCTCCCTCTTTATCTATCACCTCAAAAGTAGTTGGAGAGACGGCTGTTGAAATTTTATACGGCCCTTCCCTACGCGGCGCGAATTTTCTGGTAACCCCTTTCTCAGCATTGCTGTGACTGTGCATCTCCACCCACACGAGGTCACCTTCCTTAAACCTTGCTGTTGGTCGTCGGCGTTGGTCCTCCACAGCTTTACGGCGATCTTGTTGCTCTTCGATACGCCATGTGACCTCTTTCAAAATGTCTGTGAACTGGCGAAGGTAGGGGGTGATTTGAGGAACAAAATTCTCTTCCTCTACTACAGCCCTGATATCGTTGACTACACTAAAAGGAGATCGGAGATCTCGTCCAAAAGTAAGATAAGCCGCACTATGCCCTGTACCTTCGTTATATGCGCTGTTGAGGGCGAACCTAAGGGGGGGCAGGTACTGTGGCCAACTTCGATGGTCGGATCCTACGAGCATTGCCAGCATCTGCTTCATATCCCTGTTCTTACGCTCCGCAGGATTCGCCTCGGGATGATACACAGGGGTTAAGTTCTGCTTAATTCCAAGCACGAACATGGCCTTTTGCATGACCGCGGAGACAAATTGAGTCCCATTGTCAGATATTATTCTGCGGGGTAACCCGTATCGAAGAAATACCTCTTCTATTAAAACCTTAGCACACGTTTCAGCGGTAGCATCGGTCAGAGCAAAGAGTTCCACCCACCTACTTGCAGCATCTTCCACTAAGAAGATCCACTTCTCCCCCTGGCTTCCAGCTGGTAATGGACCGAATAGATCCATCGCTAAGACTTCAAAGCGTTGTTGAGGGGTCGGAGTCTGCAATAGACCCGCAGGTTTCAGGTTTGTAGGCTTATATTGCTTACATATGTCGCATGACTTGAGGTATTGAGCTACAAAGGTTCGCATATGGGGAAAATAATATCTCTCTTTAATCTTCTTCAGGGTGCGTTCCAAGCCGAGATGTCCAGCGGTCGGTGCGTCGTGCAGCTCCTTCAATAATTCTGCGCGTAGCGATTCTGGCACCACCAGCAATGGTTCATCTGCTTCTCCTTCAGGATCTGCGCGATAAAGGACTCCCTGAGTCATATAGTACCCTCTTCGTGTCCAGCGCAATGCTGCGTCTGGATCAGCGTCTTCAAAATCATCAATGATTTTCTTAATTTCAGGATCTTCCAGCTGGGAAACGCGGAGCTCTCCAGGTCGTCGATGCGGCAAGTCTACTACCATAGGGCAGATCCCACAAATATCGGCTGAGTCAGCTACTCCCACTGGACGACTGAGAGTATCTGCGACGACATTCATCTTCCCAGGGGCGTAATTAACGTCCAAGTTGAATGCTTGTATCTTCATAGCCCATCTGGCAAGACGACCACTGGGCGTCTTCAACGTTAGGAGCCATCTCAGCGGCTGGTGATCGGTAAGCACGTGTATTTTTGATCCCTCTAGGTATCCACGAAAACGCTCTAACGCCCACACCACAGCTAACGCTTCCCTCTCTGTGGTATGGTAGTTGCGTTCTGCGTTAGTCAGTAATCTGCTCGCGTATTCGATGGGTCGTTGTGACGTCGGTTCCGACCCTTGCAGCAACACGGCGCCTAAAGCATAAGAGCTCGCATCAGTTCGTAACACAAAAGGTTCATTAAAATCTGGCTGACGAAGAATAGGTGCAGAGGTAAGTCTTTCCTTCAATTCTTCAAAAGCGACTCTCTGAGCTTCCTCCCATTGCCAACATTGACTTTTCCTGGTAAGGTAGGTTAAGGGTCGAGCTACATCGGAAAACTCCGGGATGAACTTACGAAACCAAGATGCAGTCTGAAGGAAACTTTTGAGTTCCTTAAGGTTCGTAGGCGGCTTCATGGCTACTACTGCTGCCACTTTAGCAGGATCTGGTTCAATTCCATTAGCTGATATCACATGACCTAAGTATGTTAGCCTCTCCCTGGCAAACACACATTTACTCCTATTAGCTTTTAAGTTAAATAATCTTAAGCGATCAAACACTTGTTGCAGATCCTGTATGTGGGTTCCAAGATCTTTGGATATCACCAAGATATCATCCAAGTAAGCGACTACAGTAATCTCCTTAAGACCAGACCGAAAACGATCCATTAGACGCTGAAAGGTTGAAGGAGAGTTTTTAAGGCCGAAGGGCATTCGACGAAACCGAAATGTCCCAAAAGGAGAGACAAATGCAGTCTTATCTCTATCAGCAGCATCTACCTCAATTTGCCAATACCCTGCCTTTAGGTCAATGGTCGAGATTACGTTGTTTAATTTGGTAGATAGCAACAAGTCATCTATTACAGGAAGGGGATACTTGTCGTCCTTCGTAATTTTATTCAGAGCCCGGTAATCCACACAGAAGCGCACCTCTCCATTCTTCTTTGGCACCATAACTACCGGAGAGGCCCATTCAGACTCTGCTTCTTCAATAACTCCCTCTTCTAACATTGTCTCAATCTCTTTTTTCATTACTTCTCTTTTTGCAGGAGACACTCGATATGGCGGAACGCTGATCGGCGCATGATCCCCAGTATCAATGCGGTGGACGGCAAAAGTCGTAGGGGCTCCCCCTGGCTCAAAGATATCCTGGTTCCTTTCCAGAACATCTAATAACTCTCGCCTCCCTTCAGGTTCCAAAAAAGTTCCCTCATCGTGTCGGAGACCCACAGTCGAGCATGCTACGCGAAAACTATCTAACGGTCCCTCAAATTCAAGAGCATGGATCAACGAACCCTTTAAACCCCATAAATTCCGATTAAAATCAAGTACCATACCAGAATCCTTAATGAAATTCATGCCTAACAGCGAATCTGTGGCACCGGGAAGAACGATAAAAAGTGTCGACACTACTATGTCTAACACCGTCACCTCCACTTGAGCAGTATCAACAACTAAATTTTTTACAGTGCCATCAGCAAATTTCAATTCTGTCCTAACTTTAACAAATTTATGGTTATTCTTATATAAATGAGCTTTTAAGCTTTCACTCGCGATACAATGTTTCGCCCCGGTATCGACCAATACACGACCCCTAGCACCGTACACTAACACTTCTAGGAGTGGTCGACTCCTCGGATCTACCGGCTTCGACCCGATTGCGGACACTGTGTGAAACGCGGAATTCGCGGCGGTTTTACTACACTTTATACACTTTGCACGTATAACACCGGGCGTTCCACAACCAAAACAAGTTATTTGAGATCGCTCAGGTGATTTCTCTGCTTTTGTTACACTCGACGCCTTTTCTTTCAACCTGTTACAATCCTCCCTCGCGTGACCATATTGTTTGCAGTACACACATCGGGGCCTATGGCTCAGTGCTTTTGATGCGGTAGGTACGCAAGAAGCTCGAGACGTCTCCGGGATATGAAGCGCGGCTGCAGCCGGCACTCTACGGTGACTACGTCCCTCTTCAAAAAGCTCTTCTAACCGGCGTGCCTCACTTAAAAGCTGAGTGAAAGTAGAAAAGGAATTCCGTGGAAGCCTTTCCCTGACTCTTTTGTGTAACAACCCATATATCATATCCAGTTGTACCGTGTCACTCAGACTGTTAGCAGGTAATTGTGCAAACAAAGCTCTAATTTTGCACACAAACACGTCTACTGTTTCATCACCTTGTTCATGTTCAAATATCTTTCGATATATTTTATGTGGTGGAATGCGCGGGCCAAAGGTCTGCCTTAATAATAAAAGCGCATCACTCCATGTGAAAATACTATGTTTCACCCCTAGGTACCACGTAGCCGCAAAACCAGTTAATAACATAGGTAGTCCCTTTAAAGCTATATCATCGTCTATACTAACACAGTTTTTATAAATAACAATTGAGTCAATAAACGCCTCGACGTCACCTGAGCCGTCAAAACGTGCGGTGCAGCTTGCAAAGTTCGGTAACACATAGGCACCGTATCCAGGCGGTGGCGTATACGAAGTCGGCGGCATACGTAAAGATTGTAAAATAACACTTAGCTGCTGGTCCGTCATAATTACGGGAGTAGGTGTCGTAGGTATCTCTGTCGGCGCACCGTGGCCTGGTGCGTCCGCACCATGCGCGAACGGCACGTGTAAAGATGGCGATGGGCGCGGCGGCGACGCATGGCGCGTCGCGTCGGCGCTCGTACGCACGCCGGACACGACATCAGCGGGTAACACAAATCCTGCGGCCTGCCCGACCTGGGGCGGCGGCACGGATTCATTTGTATCACTCATTGCTAATACTCGGCGCGAACGCGTATTCACCATAAGTACCTAACTATCACACACGATTCACGAACCACACTCAAAAAGTACAATATATGTACACCGATAATCGTAAAGTTTCAGTTTTGACTCGCGACACAATTACAAAAACTTAAAACATGAGTTAATATTTGAGAATGATTGCATCATCCTATAGGTACGACTTTAATTTTCACATTCGTTCCTCGCGTTGGGCAGCCACTTGTAGCTAAGGGAAATGATATTCGAAAACTGGTAATTAACACTTTAATATATATACTATTATTGTACATGGGTTACAGAATAGATTTTAACACAATGTAAGTATAGATATAAAACAACGGCGTAAGAGAGAGCGGCGTGGTCTAGTGTAATGCGCGTCCCGAACATAACTAATTACCCCTCCTGTCCGCGGTAGCGGGCCGGCGGGCGACGCGTGCGGCGGGGGTGTCGTATTGCATCATCTTTTAATGTACGAATTCCGTTCGCTATACAACCTAGATTTAGCAAACATACTAACAACAACTAACAACTTTTGAATGTAACTTTTAAGATATGAAATAAATGTGGCTTAATTATTATTATTATATATAAAGCTTAACTCTAAATCCGGGTTTAATGGTCCCTGTATAAAAGTATGGATCAAAGTTTCCACGAACGATAAATGTACACAACAACAATAACAATATTATTTTTGAGAATATTGGTAGTACAGACTTAGCACTCTAGCTTTATATCAGAACGCTTAAAGTATACTCTAAGTTAGAATGAGTAAAATTTTTCTTAGTAAAACCTACCTTTATTATTTATTCAAGAAAAGAGAGCGTCACACGTATGGCTTATTTACATTCAGTCTGAGGTTAAGCAATTTGTTGTGATGGATCGAGATCCGGCTGCAAGATTGCTACGTTCATAGCAAATTTAATCAAAATCATTTTTTTATTTACCATAAAAGGAACAATATGTTTTGACCGAGATGCCTATAAAAAAGTGCCCGCTAGTATGTTTAATTAACTAAATAATAGTTGACTTTTTGGAACAAAAACGATGCGTTTGTTATTACAATGAATTATACTCCACTTCACAGAAATATACGCAGAGATCTTGAAAATTAATAGCTGTCGTTGCGCACTTGGCCACAACCTCTTCGCAGCCAGGCGTAAGCAGGTCATATTTTGTTACGTTTCTACGTTTATGGCGTATATTCATCATTTATATTTCAAATTTAGCTAATTTTTTAAAGCTATTTTTTTTCTGTACCTGATAAACTACGTCTGCCTATGTAAAAGTGGCCGCAATGAAAAGAAAAGAAGGAAAGAATATAATATTATATATCATCTGTCAGACAATAACAACGGTTACCATGGCAACAAACAGTTAACTAACGCGCTAACTCTCTTTAACTTTAATCTTTTTTTCAATACAATTAAAAAAACACGTGTTTTAGCATTTTTCGAAATTTAATCCTATAGTGGGTTAAATGGGGGATGAAAGTCTGTAATTAATATGTAAAAAAGTATAAAAAATTAAATAGATATTCTCCTCTAGACGGTTTACGAGTTTTAAAATCACTTTCTGTAAAATGATGTCCACAGCTTTAATAATATAAAAATTGACACAACGTTAATTTTGGTCGTCTTATTGCTTTAGCCCACAATTTCTTCAGTTTTTGTCTTTTGGGAACAAATTATATTAATTTTTTTTGCATCTTAGCATTGCACAATTTGTTCATTTTTATAAACTTATAAATAAAATGAAAAAAACTTCATCCACGCTCTATAGAGCTTTACAATATATTGAGGGCTATAGTGATCACGACATCTGGCGTGAGAAAAGGCAAAATTCTTCCCCTTAGGTTACTTCTTTCGCAAGAAGATTAAAAATTAACGTTAAGCTGAACGCGCATTAGATTGACAATGACAGCATCAATTAAGTAAACTGTCAGTTAATAATTGTCACTTGTGTTTCGTTGGTTGTCACTTGTCAGTCTCATTTTAATTTATGGGCTTTTAATTCGTTACTAAATCTAAACTAAAATCTTTTTTTTTAGAATATTCGATCTAAGCAAAAACAAGATAAAAATTTCACAGTGAAAAAGCACAAATTATACATTTACAAAGCAGTTTTTATAAATAATTATCTTTGGGTCGTTTTGTATTGTTACTTTTAATTAGATAATTATCTTCATTTGTATGACACAAATAGTATTAAGATATTTGCTCAAAAATAACAGAAAAAATAATTATAGCCTTATGTCGAAAACTAATGATGTTGCGTGTACCATTAGTGCTAAGCAAGGAGCTGAAGGGTGAGTTCCCTGGTCCTTTTAAATCTGCTCTTCTTTTTTTTATACGGGACCCGCAGTAGACACTTGATTTTTTTTTTGGTGTAAAGTACTTATTATTTTGAGCAATCTCACAAAGTTTCAAGTTTAGGAAACTACTTACTACTTACTTTGGTACTTTCGGATTTAAAATATATCAAACTTTGATAAATAAAACCTCAACTTTTGGACGTCGGACCCGTGGTTACACTGTTTTGTTATACTATACACCCATATATATGTATATACCCATATCCCCCCCTCCCCCATATATATATACCCTTACATAAAAGTCCTTCCTTTAATTGTTACTCTTATCAATTGGAAATTATTATTGATTTTGTATTATAGGTACAATGGAGAAAAGCTAATCAGTGCTGCTGCTTCAAGAAATAAAGATCCTATACTACAAGTATTAAAAAGGTTTATCATCTGTGATACTGATCAAGTTGAAGATGAAAGTCCATTGTTTTTGGAAATTTCATCAGGAACTGGCCAACATGTAGCACATTTTGCACCACATTTTCCTGGTGTTAAATTTCAACCATCAGAAGTTGACCAACATGTATTTGGAAGTATATCTTTTTATGCCTCTAGCTGTCCAACTAAAAATATTCTTAAACCTATATTAATTGATATTCAAAATAAACTTTCACAATATGGATTTGAAGAAGGATCCATTGACTACATGTTTAATGCTAATATGATACACATTAGTCCTTTTGAGTGTACTATTGGTTTATTTCAAAATGCTGGCGCTTTTTTAAAACCTGAAGCTCTCATGATAACTTATGGTCCATACAGTAAAGATGGTATCATAGCACCTGAAAGTAATGTAGCTTTTGATGCATCACTGAGAGCAAGAAATCCTTTATGGGGAATAAGAGATATCAATGATTTGATTAAATTAGGAGATGAAAATAATTTATCTCTAATAGATACTATAGAAATGCCAGCAAATAACATGACTTTAATATGGAAGAGAGATTAGAAATTTTGAATTAATTATTATCACTATTTGTGTATTGTAAGTCTTCTGCTTATAGCGACAAACATTTTTATACTTTAAAGTTTTTATATATTTAATTGCAAATGATAAAAACATTTATGCTACAACTGGATATTTTCAGGACAGCTTCTTACAAATTAAGTCAGGGTTATAAATATTAAGTTGTGTAAATATTTCATGTAATGAAATAATTTAAATACATACACTTTAAAAGTTAAACCTTTTTGTATTATTGATTATTATTTAAAATTTATTTCTCTAAGTTAACTTTTTTGCACTAAGGAACAGTTAATTAAAAAAAGAGATCTTCTTGAGATGCCATCTGTTTTAATCTGCCATTCTGGTGTGATCGAGTAACAAACATCCATCCAAACTTTCGCATTTATAATATAAGCGACTTACCCTCGTTTAGCTTTGGGTTCGTCCCTAGACAAAAACAGATCATCTCTAGATTATTCTGAGATAAAAATGTGTTATTCCAGACTATAATCTGTTTCTGTACCAAATTTCATCCAAATCCGTTCAGCCATTCTGGCGTGAAAGAGTGATAAACATCCACTCTTCCATCCATCCTCACAAACTTTCACCTTTGTAATATTAGTAAGTAAAGTTAAATTTCAAAATCCCGAGAGCTTTCAGATTGAACTTCAAAACTACTTCGACTGCACATATTGACGTAATCGTACCTACCTACATATTACAAAATTACATCATTGTAATTTTAATCGTTAGGTCTGAGTACCTTTTTTTTTTTTTTTAAAGTTGGGAAATGCATTTACGCACGAGGTGTGGGACTCACCGGCAAAGCCAGTACTACCCACTAAAACCCAACAAAACCTTCCCCCGTCTTAATGGGGCGTCGCAGGATCGCTTACGCATTCAACTACGACGCCCCGACGGCAGGTCTGCCGAAGCAGACCACAACAACCACGGGGTTGCTCCACAGTCCACTCTGCTATCAGAGAAGTACCAGGAGCAACCCGCATGGTACACTGCCCTCCGAAGAGGGCCACCTCCCACCGCCCACCGAAGTGGGCCACCTCCCTGTGCGTTTCTTGGCTTCGCGCCCGGTTGGGTTGCCGGGCACTACTGAGCCCCCCCACCACGACAAGGTGAACGCACGTTGGGGGGGGGGGTAGGTCTAAGTACCTACTTTAAAGCCTACCGTACAAATAGACCCTAAAGATTTCCGATTCATATCTCAAGCTCATGACTGAAAGGGGAGAATCTATCCTACAGTGACATGACACTTATGACCCACAATTTTCGCAGTTTAAAGCTGTTGCTGTCTGAGCGTGTTAAAAATATCACAGAACGCAATTAAAGTTCCAAGCATTTCTCTATACATCTGTCCATTGGTCAAAAGCCAAAGCTGGTGATAAGCTTTACGAAGTTAGGTTTCCTTGACGTCGATATCGGTTAGCAACATCCAATCCGACAGCGTAAGTTACGTTTATAGAAACTAGAAAGGCACCAGACTAAAATGTTCATCAGAATATTCCATTAGACAGACGATAGAAATAAGAAAATATAGAAATCCAACATCTCTGGAAACTTACTTTTTTACTTTCGAAATTTTCTATTAAGACAGTGAAGCTGTGCTTTATGCAGTAAAAGTATTTAATATTTATTTCCGATCTTTTGAAAAGATCAACTCGTACCTGACCAGCGCGGTGGACTATGGCCCGATTCCCCTTACATTGAGGGGAGGCCCGTGCCAGCAGTGGGACGTTAAAAGGGATGTATTATTTATGATGAATTCCAAAGTTGTTACTAAAGCTAGGAGAGGGAAGAGGACAAATCATACAAAATTTTAAATTGTTTTGATATTTTATTTTCATTACTCCAAAATATACACAATGACAATGTAAATCTGGTCGGTATGATTTGTTTCTTCTAAACGCTTTGTCTCATTAGTGCAGTGCGTTTAGAACTCAGAAGTCTACCAATATTAAATAATACCAATACTGAACAAATCAAACTAAAAGTATGCATAATTTATAAACCACAAAAACATAAAATCTAAAAATGCTTGTATTTAGCTCTATTTAACGTCCCAGTGCTCGGCACGGGCCTCCCTTCAATAAGAAAATGATCAGGCCATAGTGTACTACGTTGGGCAAGTGCGGGTTGGCAGGCTTTATGTCATGTTGAAAATGATTCGCACATGACAATATTAAAGGTGCAAGTCCCGAAATTTGAATCCGTTTTACTCGGTTCACCAAGCGAGCGCGTTACCACTGGACTACCACTACCTAGACAATAAAAAATATGAAAAATCCTTATACTGTCGTATATTGTATTCATCTGTAAAATAAGGTGAGACAATGATAAAAGCATAGCATAAATTAATCAGGCGCCCAAAGTATGTCTGCTGAATAACTAATTTTTCAATTCAATTCTCTTTTTAATGGCTTCAAAGGGTGCCAGTTGAGTACATATTACTTCACCAAAGTCATGTAGAATAGAGAAGACGCGAACGAGGTCGATGGTAAATTAATTAACTATATTAAATTGTAATGTGTAAAAAAAGGGAGTAAATCCTTTAAAAACATTGGACCTATAAGCTACAGCAAAAAAAAGTTAGTCAAGCGTCGTCCATTAATCACGTGATGTTTTATTAGCAACTTTTTAACACTCCTCTCCCCCTGGCGAAACGTGGTGAGGTTTTAGAGTTTAGACTTCCCCCTCCCCCCTAATCCAAAGTCTCCAGTAAACCTCTAAAATCACTTGCTCTCCAAAACCACTGCTTGACTATACACATCATAATTTAGGTGGCAATTAGGGTCATCCCCACTTTTACACCCTAGATTGCCACTGCGGCAGGGGTGTGAGTAGCCGCTTTAAGTCTGTGCTAAGTGCTGACATTTAGCGATAAACGTCAAGCGATTGACAATTGTCAATTGACATGTTGTTATTTACAAATTTTCGCAAGAAATCAGAAATTGTGAATTTAGTAAATTAATTAAAAATAATCTCAATATTATATAATTTAAATTAAATGATGGCAAACTTTGACACAGAATTTGTTACGGAACTTTTTTTGGATGATACTGTTTCTACACTTAATAGGGTTATCGTAGCTACAGCTAATGTTGTAAATGAAAGTTTTGAAAATATATCACATTTTAATGATTTTATGATAAAAGAATATAGCCGAAATATACTTACGCCGAACAAGTTGACTGGAAACGTGAATCGTGAGCGTAGAAGGTTTTACGAAAGGGTTGTAAAAAATTTTTCAGAAGATGATTATATTGAAAATTTGAAGATGTGTAAATCAACTGTTAAGGTATGTGTTTTAAAATAATATATAACATTTATTGTGTAATTTTTGTCCTTAGTAAGTTTCTTTGATAAATATTTTGAATATTTTTTTAGGCATTAATCACATTTTTAAGAGAGTATGTAAAACCTGGTAATTCAATTATTCCTTTAGAAAAAAAGGTTCATATATTTCTCTGGATCTTAACAAGTGAATATTCTTTTAAAGATATTGCAGAAAAATTTGGATTGCATAAATCTTCTGTTAGTTACATATTTCATGAAATAGCAACTTTACTCGCAGAGCAGAGATATCAGTTTATAAGTTGGCCATCTATTGAAGAACAGCATGTAACAAGAGTTAAAGTAAATAGCAAATATGGTTTCCCTAATTGTGTAGGTTTCATTAATGCCTGCCGTCTTAAAGTTGGATCAAAAAGAAAAAGAGAAGACACAACTGAAACCATTCTTCTACAAGCAGTTTGTGATGAAAGCCTTATGTTTATTGATATTCATGTTGGAGAAATTGGGAATACTGGGAAAGGGCGACTGTTTAAGGATAGCCCATTGTCAAAAGAACTTAGAAATTTCATAGACTTTGATAATCACATACTTGGGGGTGCAGAATATAAGTTACGAAAGAATCTGATTACCCCATTTTCTACTAATGAATTATTAACAAGTGAAGAAAAAAGATTTAATGAGATCCATTTGAAAGCTTATAATTATATTGAACAAGCTTTGCAAATTTTAAAATGGCGATTTATAAAATTAAGACACATTGATATAAATAAACCAGAGGCCGTCATTACCTTAATACATGCAGCATGTGTCCTTCACAACTTTATACTACTTCATGAAGGGTGTCCAATAAAAGAAGAACCAGTAGTGAATAATGAGAGTGTTACGATAGATGCAAATGTTGTGACATCTGCTATTGGAAAACGTCAGTTTTTATCTACCTATATCAACTATATGCTAACCTCTTAAAATTATTAAATAATTTGATATTTTAGGTATAGGGAGTGACTCAGCTCTTAAAATCAAAATAAAAAAAATACTTATAGGTTAATTGAGTAACAAACATCCATTAAACTTTCGCATTTATATAGTAGTAAGAAGTAAGATGTATTTTCTATATTATTATTTTAATATAGTAAAATTAGAAAACTGCTAAGTACCTTCATAGTATATGAATAAATTTAATAATAAATAATCTAGTCAGAGACTATCAATCTTATTAAATGTAGCTTTATTCTGGTGTCTAGTTATATTGTAGTGTTATACTTCATAATATTTATCAAGTAATGACTTAAAATGTATGAAAAAAATTTGTAAATTCTTCATAAAAATGTATTTCACGTGCTAAACGCTTTTAAGCAAGTCTTCTTAATTCTCATTATGATATTATTTACCCTTTTGTAACTTACTATTATTTCAGAAACCCTGAAAATATCTATTACTATATTATGTGAAGTTCTTTATTGGACAAAGGCCTCTATTCACAAGAGGTAGTGAAAGGCTATATATTTTCATCAAACTTATATTTCACTAAAAAATACCAAGGAAAATTGAATAAAGGCATAAGATTATTTAAATTTATTTATTACAAAGAATATAAATAATACATATTCTGATATAAACAGTACAGGTCAATTTAACCAGAATCTATGTACAATTTGAGTAATGTTGTTGTAACAATTTTTTTCTTTTACATTCAAGTTTTATTACCTATATAATAAAATATAAAACATTTTAAAAATAAAAATTTTCTAACTTTTAAAGACTTTAATTCGCCTCATCTATAACTATTATATAGAACTCTTTCTAAAGTTTACATCATGAAGATGCAGAAATTATTTCTGCTTATCTAACAACTTTGTAAAACGGTGGGAATATTTGTTAATTTTTAGATCTCTGGTGGTTCCTTCAGCCTAACATTCAAAATTACATTTTAGGATACAGTTTTAGTCTTTAACATTTAATTAAAATAACATCCGACATAGAAACGCATAATATGAAGAACTTAGAGTTTAGACTGTCAATAATAGGTTATATGTTCAGCAGCACAAGCCATACAAAATAATATCAATGAAAAATTAGTTATTTATCTAATAAATACAGTATAAAAGCTTTTAAGCTTCAAACAGAGAATAACAAACATCTATATAATATTCTCTTCCTGATGTATCCTACAGTACATTAGGCACTAGATTGGCAACCTACAAGGCACTATGCAGTTAGCACAGCAATTCAATATACTCATAACTTTATATTACTTTAACAAATTTTATATATTTTAATGATCATCGAATGGCCGTTTCTTAAACTGCTCGCAACAATTATAATATTGCTCAAGTTAGATTTGGACTATGTATTAAGTAGTTTACTAGTTTCATTCGAATTTTCTTGCCATCTCTATGTCGAGGTACTTAAGCCGAATCGCTATCAGTAGCATTATATACAAATTTATATTTACAAAGAGCTGCTCTACGAATAATACTACATCTTAATTATGGAATGTATTACTTATAGATTTAATACTAAACGGTCAACTTAAAAAGTTTGTTTTGCTTTCTTTAAAGAATTGTAAGCGAAAAGCAAATACATGCACACTGACTGATTTTAGTATTAAATCTATGTACATTTGTAAATACGATAGTTTCTACAGTTATTTATTAAAAAATAGTAACTGTACTTTAGATAATTGGGTGATTAGGAAATACCTAAGTCATAATGAACAAATTTACATATTACTACGAATATATAATAATTTATTTATTCGTAGACATATTATAATATATATATATTATGTAAATATGCTCGCAAAATTAAGAATAGTAAGTATTTTTGCTATGAAGTAGCTCATTTAAAATACTTTATTTTTCTACAATTATACCATTATTGTTGAATCAACGCCAGTCTTTTCACCCATCTCTACTTTAGGATAAGTCAAGATTTTACAGTTTACATATAGTTCCAAACATAGAGTAACTGGCATTTGTTTTCACGGTTAAATGCGATATGCTGAAGTAAAAAAAAGTCTCGTTCGACAAATGTATACTGTACATCAAAGAAACACAATATTTACAAGAATCTATAGTTCTCACATAATACCGATCACACTTGGCACACGACTCATTGTCACTTCACTGTCACTAAGTTATCACTTCGTTATGCTACCGTATACAGTCTGTTGCGTTAGGTTTCATATATAAGTTTTTTTCACTTTCTGCAAGGTTCCACACTTAATGTCTTTATCGAGGGATTCAGTGGAGTTTCTTAAATCGAGTGTTCGATCCTTGCCCAGTTCTAAATGCAAGTTGTCTTGCTTCACGAGTGGACCAACGTTAGCCACCATATTGACGTTCTTTGATCGTGGCGGCATGTTGTATCCAGAGTTGACATTCAAAGGTGTCTCTAATGGGCTAAGCCTGGAACAATTGATGTAATTTTTAATATATAGGTTCTTTCTTGTTTTTATTTTATAAAAAATCTATATCCTATTCTTAAGACCAACATTCGTTGCATATAGAATCGAACCCGTTACCTTTACCGTAGTAGAGCATTCTAGTGAGACAATTCCATGTCCTCGCGATGTTCGGATATATTTTCAATTATAATGATAACAAAATTTAAACTTTTGGTAATGGTATAAGTAATGGTAGATACTAATTTAATTAAGTCGTGCATTAACTGTAATTACTTGAGCACCGCAATTTAATGTATATGTTTTCCGTCTCGATCCTTTTGACCTAAAATTCTTTGACGTATTAAGCTGAGCTTCGTAGTGTTTAATGTAAAATTATAATTCCATTTAATGACTTGACAAAGTGTTATAAACTAATTTGTTATAAATGTTTTCGCCGTGCTCAATTTTAAATAGGACAATTAAGAAAGTTTAATGTTACAGTACTTATTACTTAAGAACGTCGAAGACGTACCTATTTAAGTGGTTGTGTTGTTCATTGAACGGAGAAGTATCCGTAAAAAAAGGGTGTCGAAATCGACGCGAGAATAGATATCCGATGACAAATCCAACCATCAACGTCACCAAACATGACGCTACTACAGCGGTTAGTAGAGCTTGCGCGGTGTAAATGTTGCCGTCTGCTGCTTCTACTGTTAAATGATCTGTGGGAAAGATTTTTTTTTATTAAAGTATTATTAATATATTATATATGTATGTAATATATTTATCAATTTGAATTCGAAGTAGAGCACAGAATATGTACTTATTTTTAACCCCCGACGCAAGTAAAAATTAAAAAAAACCCCTACGCAAATTAATTGTCATTTAACGAATACACTGGCACGCGTGAAGGACTTAATCGAGTAATCATACGCCAAAATGCCTTACATCATTTTGGAAAAGAGATGATACTTTAGCACTGCTGGACCGATATTAACCAAATATAGCTAAGAACTACCGCAAGGAAATGAAATTTTTTAATAAGGAAATAAAAACAAGAAAGAACCTATATATTAAAAATGAAAAAATTTCAAATGAAAAAACCGCATCGAAATTAGTCCATCCGTTTGAGAGCTACGATGCCACAGACTGACACACGCACACAGACAGACAGACATCGACGTCAAACTTATAAAACCCCTCTTTTTGCGTCGGGGGTTAAAAAGAGGAGGAGTGTTATATAAGTTTGACCGCTATGTGTGCGTGCGTATGTATGTGTCTGTCTGTGACACAGTAGCTCTTAAACGAGTGAACCGGTTTGGATGCGGTTTTTTTTAATTTGAATGCTAGTTTTGTATGCATGTTTAATCTAAATCGGTTCAGCCGTTTTTGTGTTGGGGGTATTTTAATTTTAATTAAAATTTTACAATATTTACTTGTCATAACATATTGCTTCCTTAATAAGGCAATAACAAATAATTATTACAAAAAGTTAATTTGAAAAATAAACATACTTTATATAGTCACTTAATAGGCAAAAATGTACCTGTTTCGTGTTTATTGTTGTTAACACTTTTGTCTTCACTCAGAACGTTCGTTTCGACAACTTCTATTACAATTTCGTTCTGAATATCATTAGTAGGTTGATTTGTTTCTGATTGAGGTTTCTTTGTGGCTTGGCTTCTGCTTCTATCTCCAAGAGCAGGCTGTTTGCTACAGATTTCAGTCTTTCCATTTTCTATATTTTGTAGGAACCTTTCAGGATTTGGGAACTGCCTATTGCCAACCCAAGAGCATTGTTGCTGTTTAGAATCCCACGCACAGTGCGGGTCTTGAAGTGCAACGCAATCTCTGTAAAAATTTAAATAACTTGAAAATGTTGTTAAGTGTTGATAAGTTGCTACTTATTTTTAAATTAGGTCGTAACTACAATGAATATAACGATTGTGTACTTTATACTACACTGTCTTCAAAAAAATGATAATAAAGTGTTCGTAAATATGCCCTAAATGATAGGAGATAATATATAATCAATATCAATATAATTTATAAAACTTGAACAAAGGATGATAAAACATATTGAAACGTACCTGCACGATTGAACGTTCGAACAATGTGACAATGTGACTGCTTTTATCATATCGCCGGATGCCACAATTAATTTCTCAGTAGTGAGAGCAACATGCATTTGTTTTATAGGAACTCCGGGCGGAAGGACCTGGACTTCAGATATAATAGCCGTCCTCACGGGGCTTCTGCTGTATTCATCCATACTTGAATCGAAATCTCCTTCATTTGAAGCAACGTTTACTGCTTTTATGACTCTACCGTCATCTGTTCCGACAAACATAACGTCATACTTGTTACCGTTCATTGCTTGCACTTGTGGGTGTACAGCTATAGCGGAAAACCTGTATTGTAAGCTGACTCGTATCAATATAGGTCGTGCCAAAAACGACGGCACCGCTCTGTCCATAAGTGGATGTGTTTTGATAAAATTGATAGCCGAATCAGAAAGAGTTCGACTGTCTTCAACGCATGAGCCGGGTTGTGGCTGTGGAATCTTTTCTTTGGGTAATGACAGCCAGTTAGAGTTCATATTTTTTTGCCCTTTGAATGAACCTTCGAAGGCGTCCAGAATGTCTCTCATAGAGAAGGCGCATACTGCGGACCCGCCTATAGCGTTTTGTGGCGTCGTAAATACTGCGTAAACAATGTCGTTCTTGTCACCGCTTCCGTATACACCGTTTATAATTTCGGTCGTTGCTTCTGTAATAGATAATTACACGGTGAGCCGAGTCAAATTTATGTTGCGTAATTTGGAAATTGTGAATTATCTTTGACAAAAGGTTTAAGAATATAAATAGTTTATTTAAATATTTGTCTTTTAAATATTTTAATACTTTTTTGCCAATACAACTTTCATTAAAATATTTCGAAATAAATTAATTTGAGATAGGATCTATAAATACATTGTACATATGTGATTAAATATAGGTATAACATGGTACAATTATTATAAACTTATTAACTGTACCTTAATAATTGTCACTTTTGCAAATTAAATGTTTAATTAAGTAGGTAGAACAGCACTTACGAATTTCATCGAAATAAAACGGGTATTCCCCAGGTATCGAGCAGTTAAGACGAGCTTTGAGAAATGAAGTCCATCTATCGTTGAAAGGGTGCGGCCCGCCTTTATCGTTTAAACAAACTCTGGCAACTCTTGAATATACAGCCTGTGAAAATAACTATTCAATTAGTACGAACCTTACAAATTTACTTTTATATTTTAATTATATAATGCTAATTTGTTCTCATTTCAAGCATCTCTTTAATCTAAATGAATGAATAACCTAATAAAAAGCAGGCATGTAATATAACATGTAATATAATATGGTTTTAAATTGAAATCTTTGTGTATGTACAGAGTATAAATGATACAAAACATCAAAGTAGTTACTGACCTTCCCACAGTTCATGTACTCTACAGCAGTTTCACGATAAAAGAAATAAACGTGGCTCGTAGAGGCGACTGCCCCGACAAATGAAGGATCATTTAGTAATCGCAAATCTGAGTGTTCAGTTCGTACTGGCTCTCTGTATATTAATGGTTCGGAACCGGAGAAATCTGCTGCCGTTGCCGTATATAGATGGCCATCTATAAAAAAAATAAAAACTGAACAAAAAATACATGATATTGCTTATAAATTTGAGTGAACAATTAATTATAATATATTAGAGAAAAATAATAATTTATACTTTATTTTATCAACGTCGATAGGGCTACGTAATAAAAATTTGAAAATATGTATAATTAAAACAATCTATTAAAGCGTTCAATATGGTGCCTATGTGAGTAACAGAAATTAACATTCATCTATTTTAATTCATGAATTCTTCCTAAAATTTTAGTTTCAATATATTTTATAAATTGGAATTTCAATTTCCAAATTTCGGCGTAAAAAATGAATTTAATTAAAAGCGTAATCGAATCTGCGCAGTGCATTTACACACCACGAGGATATTTATTATTTTATAAATCATATTATGTTCACAGTTTAATCGGTAAACTGAAGATTTGTTAAATAAATATTATATTGATTTATTTATTTAGATTTTAGATTGGCGAGCCTTGCGATAACTATTTTTCATATGAATAAAGATCTTTACAATACTATATTATTGTGAATTGTGAACGTTTAGTAGTTTATAGTTAAAGTACTTTCGAACTGTCGTGAGCGTGTCTTAATGTGGTTTCTTTTAAGAGTTTATTACAGTTGGAGTATGACAAACTTTTGTATTACGATTTTATCTATGGAAATTTCATAGCTCTACACAAAATTTTCCCTTACAGCTTTTAATGTTTTAAGCTCAGAAATCATTAAAGAATATTTTTAACTCTGGACAAGCATAAGATCATGTTATTCTTGTTGGTTCCTCATTAATATTACGTTTACGAGTTCACCTTGGTTACCATTACAGGAAATACGATGTGATTTTTATATTTAAAACAAGCTTTGGCGTAATTTTCCATTTTTTGGTTCTTAATTTATCGTAGTTGAATATATGTTTACATTATGCAATGATATTTTACTATATAAATAGTTTTTATTATGAAATAATGTCAAAAATATTTTAACGTGTTTTTAATAAATCTGGTTAGATATGTGTAATGTCAATCAAAAGTTGCATTTTCAAAGTAATGCTGCATAGCAATTAGATGTAACTGTAATGGTAATAAAATCGATTCCTATCGGTACAGTGCGTCGTGTTCGGCACAACCCCTTGGCGTGTTTGAGGCGAGAGCTCTATTTCATGCCATCTGCTGACGATTATTATGAGTAAGTAGGTACAGTTAGTTTCCAACTTCTTCACTAATAAAAAAAGTTTCTTTGTTTTTGTTTCCTACAAAAAAACTACAGTTTATGTTTCAATTATATTTTAAGCGTACCTGTAAATATAGCGGTAGAGTTATGTTGTGGGCTGTACGGACATCTTCCAGTCCCGTCGAATTCTTCTAAATGATGGTTCGGCATGTGTCGGTTGTATCGCCGACACATGGGCTTGAAGGCGTTCGTGCCGCATACCAGTAGACGACCATGAGCCCGCGTAGCGACTCGAAGGTAGTTTTGACAGTCGTCAGCTGACTTGCCTTTTACCTGGCATAGTTCTCTGTGTGCGTCTGTTGATTGCCACTCTAAACGCTGCAGAAGCATGATAATAATTGTTTATATTACCAATGCTGACTAAATGCATAACATATAGTTTAAACTGTGGGGAATACCCCATATGTTTGTTGAGATTAGAAGAATAGGAAATTGTGAATTATACTTGTTTGCTTTGTAGTTTCAGTTTTTGGTGTTGATTTATTTACCAAGTCTAGCTATAATAAGTACATAACAATATTACCCGTATAAAAATAATTTCTAAATTTTGTTTGTTAAAGGAGTTAGTGATTATATCTAAATATTCTATTAGCTACACGTGTAGAGTAAGGTAGCTTATATTTACAACGAAAAAATTAGTCCACTCAAATATGACGTCAAAGAAAATAAGTAAACTTTTGATCGCGTGCACATCCATCACAGGTGTATAACGTGACTATAGCAATTCTGTCAAATTATTCGTATTGCATGACGGTGATATCGCTGTTCAAACCGTTTAATATACAAATGAGAAAAATAACAAAATTATAATAAAAAGTAATGGATACCTAAAACAATTTATATAGAAATATTATGTATTCAAATGTATCTGCAGTGCAACTCATTCATAAAAGAGACATTATACACGGCACGCCAAAGAATGCACTAACGTACTCTATCCGCTTTGTTATATTATATATTTACCTCTATGCCACATATCAATAGCATAAGCACTCCATGCATTATATATAGATAGTGTTATTATTATTGTTTTAGTGTTATTGTTTGTTGTTTGTTTATTAGACAACGTCAAACTAAAATTTATAGTGTGATTAAAATTTATTTTAAAATATATACGAAAATAACATTAAACTTCAATTAATAGTATAGAAAATGTTTTAAAAGACAAAGATATCGAAAGTGTATCATCAGACAGATCAAGACATAATCAGAGATATATATAAGAGACATATCATAAGACATATTCCGCGATAAACTATAGCATTCCCAAGGAGGGTTGACGTCAGGCAGGCGGCCGGTCGTAAAACTTTTGCCAAATCCTATCGGCAGTACAGAGGATGTACTGCGCCGACCCCGAGTAATTGGGAAATGGGCAGGGAGAAGAAGAAGAAGTGTTATAAGTGACTAATGTTGATTCATTATGGCTAAGAGCTTTACTTATAAATAAATATAAAAAAGATGATATAAAGCAGTATAAACATAATTATTAAAACTTGTAAAATCTTATTAAACATAAACGAAGCAATTTTATATTCTATGTTACTTAGGAACTATCCTAAAAACTGTAGTTTCTAATTTTTCTTATAGTATTAAAAGTATAAAACTTATCATATATTTGGTCTAAATCCTAAAGTAATACATTGCAAAACACGAGTCGTAAGTTAACGTTCTTTAACAGGTTAGTAAACGGGAAATGATATTTGCATAAGATTAAGTATATGAACTTAGACGCTACGTGTCTCTTCACCAAAGCTTTAGATCCAATTCTTTCTGATATTGTATTGATATCTAGCTATAATGACATTATCTTACCAATATAAAGAGATATAGTTTATGGATTGTGAGTTTGTGACGTTGTAGCGGGTAATCTTTGGATCTACTGAACCGATTTAGATAAAATTTGGTAAGAAGGTAGTTTGAGACCCTGGGAAGGACAAAGGATACTTTTTATCCCGGAAATCATTCCTTAAGGGGATGAAAGTTTGTATGGGGAATCAAGTTAGGGACGAACCCAAGCGAAGCGAGGGTGATTCGCTAGTTATTCAATAAGGCAAAAACCAGATAAAGTATAAATACTAAATATATTGATTGCTATTTCGTATATTATATGTTATGGAAAGGGAAATTGATTTCCAGTAATTAATATAGTTATAGAATAATTAAGTAACCTGTTCTTGTTTCTATATATTCTGAATATTGAGATTTTCCTTTAACTTTCTATAGATGAATGATATGTGAATGAAAATATTTATACCATAAATGCAATTGCTTTATATGCATGTATTTAACTGGTAAATTGTATTCAAAATAAATACAACATTATAATTTATTGAAATCTCAGAGTTAAGTTTTGTAGTACCTACGATATAAAGATGTAAAATACGTTATGTGGGAATATCAAAGGACTTACAAAATAAACAGTGTGTCGAGGGAAATAGGTCGTAACTAAGAATAAGCAGAGTCAGGTTTGTAGCAACGGGAATTGGTGTTTGCATAAGATTAGATACATAAACTAAGGAGCCAAGTACTTTGGTTTTCGCTGCCGTTTTGATCGCAACTTTGTGAAACTAGTGATATCAGTCTAGAATTTATTCAGTAGTAAATTATTGTCGAATTCGATAACATTTTTTTATTTGAGTTAAAATTGCATGTACAATTCAGGTTATTATTTAAATATCTTTTCGCATTTATATTGCGGGTTGCCTAAGTAATTGAATTGTTTATTATATAAATTATGTTTTTTTAATCACGCCATTTTTTCAAAATCCGTGAGTACACATAAAAAAACATACGGACGAACATAGAACCTCCTTTTAAGAAATCGTCTAAAAAGAATGAACTTACCTGTTCAACATTTTCTGATAAATCATAAAGGCTCAGGTTGTAGACAGTACTCCTGAAAAAAAAAACACCATTAGTATCGCCACAAATAATTTATATTAATTGTAGTACTAAGAAAACCACTAGAATGATGACTACATTGATAAGTCATTGAAAATTAATAAACAGTTCAATTTGTCACATCACTCATACAGCTGTATCATTAACAATAGAGCAGGTGCGCAGTTGATGAAATATTAATTTGTAAGAATGTAATTTTTGCATATTTTTTGTATGAATGCGTTTTTATCTATACTAATATTAAAAAGATTTAAAGTTTGTGAGTTTGTGACGATCTACTGAACAGATTTAAATGAAATTTGGTAAGAAGATAATTTGAGACCCTAGGAAGGACATAGGATACTTATTATCCCGAAAATCATTCCTTAAGGGGGTGAAAATTGGGATGCAAGTTTGTATTGGGAAGCGTCGCTAGTTTTTTATAAAAAGATAATTGTATTTTTAACAAAATTTGCAATAAATGACCATAGAACAATCATTTTTTTGTGTACAAATAAATAAATCGTATAAACTTACCTGCCGCCAACTAAAATTGAGAAGTCATCTTTGTCTAAAATACGAAAGTAGTTTGGTCCCGTTGTGTTGCCCACAAACTGTTCTGTAGTATCATCACCTGTAACAAAATAATATGTAAAGAAAAAGAATGTACATACATATAATATTCATATATTTGGGAAATATGGAGCAATGTATATTATAATCTAAGTGCTAACGAGTACTAGGAACTTCCACATTTGGGACTGGAGACTTAACAAACCGCAAGAGTTGGCTTGACCTGCGATTTGCGGCCAGTTTAACCAATGTACGTTACGTCGGACGTATTAGGTATTATTTGAAAATAATAATAATTTCTAAATATAAAATGATTTATAAATACATATTATTTATAAAGGTTCATTACTATTTAGAATAAGGTGTCGATTTGTTTATTGATTAGTGTAATTCAACTTTTTCATCTGAAGAGTAGGTAATATAAGCTTGTCTACAATACTACACAGTACACAGTACCTCTCCGCTCTTATTTATTGGTTGCAATCTTAATCACCGCGTATCATTTAGCTTGTTAACTGAACACTACCAATTAGCCTCTATATGGTTGACTTCTAGAGTTAACTATTGTTATAATACAGTTAGTAAGACAGTTATAATTATATTATTTAACGTTTTATTTTCATGTACCTACATAATCATATATGTATATTAAAAAAAAGGCTTATAATTAGATAGCTCGATCTATTAAACTTAAATCCCCTAAAGATTCTTAACGTTGGCAAAGGATCTTATCACAGAACGTTTTAAAATGAAGAAATTTTGCTTTTATATTATTGAGTAGATCAAACGAACAATGAAGTCTTTGTATGGTGATTAAATAACAGTATGAAACTTGTTTCGTAACAATTCGTTGTAAAAGTCTCACATGTCAAACTTGGTGGCAATGATATTAGCAAAATACTTTTCATACGGCTGGCATTCTCTTGTATTTCTTTTAAAGTGTAAATATTTATAATAAGCAGGTTTCCTTGGATTCTCAGTAAAACCTTAATGTCTTTACGGTTAAATTTAGTTCGCGTGTTTCTTCACACGTAAGCAGGATATGTCTCATGTTACAATAAACATCGTCCTTTTTGTAATATCAAATTATACATAATGAGCCAAGATTAAGTACACAGATGGATGCGTACATCTTTATTTTTATATCGTATTTTAAAATATGAAGCGTATTATTCTTTAAACCTCGCGAACTTCAAAGTACTTTTACAATTACTACCAATTAAATTTCATGGCAGCTAACAAAATAGTTATTTATTGCTTCCAAAATTAAGTCTCTTTAAATTTCAAACATATGTGAATTATAACTGTCACATTAATTATTATACAAGATCTGGTACATTTCTAAAGAAACACATTTTTAAGAAATTTTAATGAGTAGATATGAATATTTATTTATAATTGTAATTTTAAAATATCATTTTAATGATTATTTTATATTTACGATATTATGAAAATCTATTGTATTGCGATGTAATGAAAATAGTGTCACAATACAATTTCTTGAAGCAGGTACCTAGTAGGAATTACTTTACTGACAATAAAGGATTTTATATCGCATTTACAAGAATGGTCTTCTTCTTAGAACTTGCGGTTTTGTGCCAGCATTTTATAACCATTCACATTTCTAGTTTTTATTACTGGCCGTGCTTTTAAAAAGTATTTAGAACATATACGGTAATAAGATGTTGCACGAGTTATTTCCTGTGGCCGCGGGAGGTTTATCAATATTTAGTATTTATTTTAAAGAAAACTTAATTGTGATATCCGTTTCATATTTACTATTTTCTTTTAGGAGTTAATCCCTCCACGACCGCGGACACGCCGGCGTGTCAGTTAACAATAGATTTCTAAGAATTTTAATTAATTTAATCTTAGAAATTTACCTGGAGGTGTTAAAGGTCAACAGACAATAAATGAATTTAAGCATGGAAGTTTTCAAAGGCGTCTTTTGTTTTTAGCAGACCTGGACTTTCTGTACCTATGGTCAACATAAGTATTGTCCTATTATAATGGGTTAGAAACTTCCGGTAAACGAAGCAATGTCATTTAGATTTTAATTTTATAACACATTTTATTTATTTAAGTCAAAGGAATTATGATGATCCCAAGAAATTAATAAAATCCAAAATCGCTTTAAACTATCAAATATGAATTTAAATCAGTGGTAGCGAGGAAGTTTCCGAAAGACGTATGAAGTCTGCTAGACCGCATTTGGTCAGCGTGGCGGATTACGGCCTGATCCCTCTCTTATTGGGCAGATCCTTGCTCAGCTACGTTAAAAAGGGCTGAAAACATACAATAACCTTTAAAATAAATTATATAGTTATTATTTACTTACCAAATTTTACATGGATTCTAGCATTGGCGTCAGGCATCCACGCGTGTGCAGTGGACGCTAGTAACACTAAGACCGCGCGAACGACGGCCATGTTGCTTATTGACTATACATTTTTACAACCGCCATTTCAGTGCCGCCTCTGCAACAAAATCGAGAAAAACATGTAATTATTTTGGAACCTTATGAAAAATATGTAAAAATATTTATATATTGTATGTTAAAAAATTTAGCCATATTGACATAAGAACCATTCAAATTATCTTTTAACTTGTAAACATATACATAAAAATATAAACAAATATTATAATATACCATTTATTTTCTATTTAATAGATACATATTATACAAAAGGCATATAAACTTTAAGTGTGTCAGTTTATTCTATAAAGATAAGTAAAGTGAAAATGTCAAGAAAAATAAGTCATTATCAGTTTGTTTTTATTATGATTACTCAGTGTTTCAATTTTAATCGTTACTAGTAGATAGGTAGCCTTATCATATCTTCTACACTTAATATATCATATATCTTATACTTTATTAGTTTCTTTGATACACGTGTTTAGTGAAAAATATAAAAGCTACATTCACATTAACACTCTAAAGTGAGATAAAAAAGTGTCGAACAAGCGTTTTACATCTTGTTAATGGTATGATAAAAAAGCTGTTCAAATTTTAGCCGTCAAAGTTCCACAATCCACATAGACAAGAGATCGTTCAGTATTCAAAGCATGCGACATGAATCTGCTCAGCTAGCGATAATTCCCGTCGTAACGAGAATGAGCCATACTGCATCCGTGCGGACTGGATTCACATTCTAGTTTTTTACGTTAACTAGTATTCTGATCGTGAGAAACTTTACTCGATATTTAACCTGTCGTTGTACTCTTATATAGAAGTTAATTAAGCATGCTTTTTTACTATTAAGATGCTATTCAGGTTGCAGTTAGTTTTTCTATTACAAATAACAAGTATGCTCGACGCTTGTGCAAAAACCTAAGTGCGTGAGGTGGATTGCATTATAATATTTATGTATATCTAGGGTGGCATGGTAATAAAAAATGCATTATATTCAACGCTCTCTTATTTAAAATTTAATTATTTATTAAGTGAAATATAATGATTGTCATGAACTTTGAATAACATAGAAAAGGGTTAGTAGTTTTAGCGTAACAGAAGGCGGCGGCTGTTCGTCACAGGCACAGCGCAGATGTCGCATAAAAGGATGAATCGGGTTCGGGGGCGTATATAATGTAATATTACCAACCCCTTATCGGACTTTTAGATTCACTATTGCTCCAGAATAATAATTCTGTAGCGATTTCATATGCTATGTAGATGTAGGTCTTGACATAAATATAATATCATACTGGCAACGTTTGCCAAGATATCAGACGTTATTCTTAATATCATACCATGGGCATGCAGTAATTGTAGATGCTTCTCAAGTTATAAATCAAGTGTACCTATGATTGTTATTATTTGTTAACGTCAAAATCTGAGGAATGACATCAATGTTATGATGTAATATGTTTGTTGTTGCTCAAGTTTTTTTGTATGATCGTTTACAAAAAATCTATTTTCATCAATTATTGAAAAACATAGCTACTAAAAATATACAAAACTAGCGGTTCACCCGCGTCTCTGTAAAAACAAAATAAAACTATCCCGCGGGAACCTGACTATTGTCGGTTTGTACGAATATTTACCACTTTTTTGTTTTCTAATGTAAAATGAGTGATTTTTAGGTGCAGGAGTACTTATATGCAAAAAAAAATTACCTTAACCTACCGAGCTGGAAACTTATTCTTTTAAATCATAAGAGTTTTAAGTTCAAGAGTTTTTATTTTTAGGTGGAGGAGTATGCAAAAAAAATAACCTTATCCTACCGAGCTGAGCCGAGCTATTTATTCTCCTTATTTATTACTCTATTCGTCCTTCCTTATAATTTATATATTTAATAAAGGACGGATAATTATTTTTTATTCTTGTTAAGGATGAATAGACACTCCGTTTAATTATATTGTGGATGTTTATTTGTAATTGTTTTATCCGTTGAAATAAAAATATTTGAAAAGAAACTCGTTAATAAAAAAACCCTAATATAAATACATATAGGTACAGTTCATTATCACTCAAGGTAATAAATAACTTTTAAGGAAGTTTGCTACTTGTTTCCAGTATTTGATCTGCGCTTGCAATATACATACATATGTACCTACTTATGTTACATACGTTATAAATGTCTATCGACTGTTCTAAAAGTAAATAGTTGATATTTAACAGTAAAACTTAGGATAAGATTGTGTCTACGAGAATTAATGTGGGACCTACATTTTTACATATCGAACTAAGATTTCGCTACTCCTAGATCATATTACATAATAAAAATAATTACATGCGTGTTATTACTTATATTTTCAGATCTTTATAGTTTCATATCGTTGGCTTCTCAACCGGATTACGTTGCATGCGTGTAGCGTGACCAATGTAGGCCTGTAATTATGTAGATGTGGTTGACACTTGAGCCCGAGGCGGTGGCAGAGCCCTGCGTCCAAGCAATCCCACGCCATGCGGGAAGCTGCGGTTATACACCTTTTTCGTTTGAATATCTGAGAATACTGCTTATATACGATAGCATTTTATCATCTTTTTCATATCAGCACATAATTTACTACAGCTTCTGGCGGTGTCACGCGTGAAATGTATGGCATATAAACGAACGTGCACTGGATAGCGGATAACTACAAACGTGTCGAGACTCGAAAAAGGATTTAATGGAGATCATCAATCGTCCTCAATGCATTTATGTATTATAGTTAATGTTGCTTATACGGACAGTATACGTGTAACCGTAAAATATGGTATTTTTGTTATAAACTTCTTGTATATTATTCAGTTTTATTTTTATTTTTCTTCTATTCAGCTTTATAAAGCAAGTTGTTTAAGTATTTTGATATTAATTGTAGTTTATTTTATTAAGTAACTATGTTATGTCTAGCAATGTTTTGGTTAAAATTTAGCTTGCGTGATATAACTATTTATACATATACTTAACACTAATCTATATCTGAACTAATATATAAAGTAGCAAGTTTGCTTGCTTCTTAGTTTGAACACACTTAGTTATTTATGGAACTAACTGTAGATTGAAAAAAATATGTTTTGAATTTTATAGTATTTATTCAAGAATACTTTTAATTACAGGCTATATAATTACATATATATCAACATGCTATGAACTTGAGATTTTCGGTTTATCATTTTTTTTTATCTATACATAAAATAAAATTCTGAGTCGAATCTGTTTATAAAAAATTTTTTTATGTAAAATCTTATTGAAATAGTCATTATTATCGATATAGAGACCGAATCTATAGTTTTTAGAATTTTTGTCTGTCTGTTTGTTACCGCATCACAGAAAAACTACTGGAGAGATTTTGATGAAATTTGGTTTGGTCATATACAAAAACTGGTTAGAATAAAACCACGATGATACTATATATATTTTAGCAAGGTTACTAATTTACTAAATAAGGCAAAAACGATGAAAAATAGCTTATGTTGAAAAAGAAAAAAAACAATAGCGCTATTTTATTTGGTTTTTGGTCATATGAACGCGGGCGGAGCCGCGGGCAGTGCTAGTTTGTTATATAGATGAAAGAAAACAATATAATATATAACATAGAGTAGGCTATATTTAGTTAGACATTCTAGTGCGATATTAATATAAATATGTTGGGACATTAACACAGCACCATCTAGTTCCATGGTAAGCTACGAGGCTTGTGTTATGGATACCAGATAGTTGATACACGACACATATATAAACTTTAAATACATAGATATTATAAATATAAACACCCATGACTGGAGTGCAAACATTCGTGCTCATCACACATTGAATGCCCCCATCGGGACTCGAACCCGCGACCGCTGGCACAGCAAGTAGGGTCACTACACACTGAGCCAAACGTGTCGTCGAAATATACCAATATACCCAGTAAACATTACACTTTATTTACGTAAAACATCTGGATCCTAAAGAACCGTTACCGATAACTGTATCGTTATTTAATATGCACTAATTGTTCGGTAATGCGAATCATATGGTGTACCGGTATTTATCAAGATAATGCAGTACTGAATTCAGGCAAACACCTTTCACTTTTTTGAAAAAAATGTAAGTTAAACTTTGTTACTGATCATATGATCGACCATATATGGTAACGAATGCAAAAAAGGAATCTGGAGCGAAGCCCTTGCTTTACGAAGGCAGAGAAAATCATTCGATTAACGGAACTACTCTTAAAATGTAGAGTAAGTATCTTTGGTTATTTATTGCAGATATTTGCATTGTTCTTTAGTAGATAGATAAATATATCTATCTACTAAATACATATAATGATATTAATAATAATAATCTAATAAATACATATAATATATGTATTACATAACGAGTGTTGTATGTATTGTTATACATGAACTGCTCAATGGCAAACGGCTGGGAAGATTTGGATGAAATTTAGTATACTGCCACACTAGTGCCTGGAGTAACAAACATAAGCTACTATTCCTATAACAATTTTAAATGATGACGCTGTCTGAGTGTAATGTTATAAATACAAAAAGCATCTAGGGACGTAAGTTGCTGCATCTTTACATAATAAATGAAGTCGCTTCCGCTGTCTGTTTGCTTAGATCTTTTAAACTACTCAACGGATTTTAATGCAGTTTTCATCAATAGATGAAGTGATTCAAGAGGAAGGTTTATGTGTATATTACATGCATATTATAGCACAGAAAAGCCGAGAAATTAAAAGATTTGTATTTCATACTAACTGTTAAAACGTACCTAGAGACGAACCCGAACGAGTCGCTAGTATATTATAAATGCAGATGAGTGCTAGCGGTTTCTTGGAAAGGTATGCTTCTTTCACATATGAATTATTTTTTGTATATTTAATAATCAAAGGACAGAGAATGACATAAGTTACTTTTTACGTTAATATGTTACTCTGAGTGGTTTATGTAGGATAATATTATAATGAATACATTAATTTACTAAAATATTATAATGTGAACCAAATTAAT